GTGACAGATTTAATGAGTTAACTATTAGTACTTTTTTATATTGATGAATTAGTTAAAATAAGTTATGTAATAGACCAGAGAGATTACTTTATATTTAAGATAGAGGAATATGTGTTTGTATATGTGTGTGTATATATAGATAAATATATATAATAAATAGTACCATATATATATATAGAGAGAGAGAGAGAGAGAGAGAGATGCTCCGTGCAAGAAATTAAAACCTGTCGGTTCTGTTTTAGGCGTTCACCTGGGTGATGTTGTTTGTTACTGCAACTGCCTTAATGCCCAAGAATACATCAAGTCAGAAGTTTAAAATTGAAGTTTAATGTCGATGCATAGCTCATTTGGATATACTTTTATAAGTGCATATTTCTTACATACTACTTCCGGTCCTTAATATAAGACCCCATTTGACTTTTTGTTTGGTCCTAATTATAAGATCCCAATCCATTTTGTCTCTCATATTTATGTATTTTTTTCCAAAATAGTCCTTCTAATAATAATAGTTCTAGCCAATACACTTAATTAGTAAGGATATTTTAAGAATGACAATACTTATTTATTATAAATAACTAACTTAACTTACTTCATTAATCTCTTCAAATAAGTCAACTAGGTCTTATAATTAGGACCGGAGGTAGTATTTACTTTGACATGTTTGGGATAAAGTTTAAAATCACTTATAAACACATTTCATATAAGTTGAGATAAAATTCATCTCAAATACTTGTCTTGTATTCGGTAAATCACAATTAAAAAACTACTTATAAGGTATTTCAAATGAGTCAATAAATTCTTTAAATCACAATTGAAAAGCTACTTATAAGCTATTTTAAATGAGTCAATAACGTATTGTTTAAATCATACTAGTAATTAAAAAGCTACTTATAAGTTATTTTAAATAATCTCTCAGGCTGGGGATTAAACGCGGTCAAATGCTGAAAAAAGTCAGCAGGCCTTAACGCTGATGAACAAGAAATTAAATGAAGTGATTACTTTATTTAACAACCTCTTTATCACTTTGGAGCTGTCAATTAAGAACCGCCTTGTCTCTGCGTTGAATATATAGAGGCTTCTTGACCCAACATGTCTTCTTTATTTATGAATGAGCCGTCACGAAAACAATCTATTGAAAACCGCAACCGAATTTTACGGTTATTCTTTTAAATATATCTTTTTTGCCGAAATACTTTTAAATACATTAAGAAAAACCACTTTATGCGAAATAAGAAATATAGATGATATCATCATCATCCTCGTTAGTCTTCACAATTATAGTGCATTAATATTTAATATAAAGCATAAAATCTATTGTGTACTGGATTATTTATAAGGCAAAAATAGTGTTTTCTTTATTGCTTGAAATATAATGAAAATGTATTTAATTATTTTGGCCAAAAAAAAAGTGGCATGCGAAAAGAGTCCAGAACGCCCCATCATATTTATTGGATAGTTTCGCGCTTTCTGTAGTCTTCCACAACGTCATGAACCAATGTTCGAATCTTTACTGGAAGAGGTGTTTACATTTAGTGCCTAACAGTGTCTCAAATAGAATTACCTCCAATAGAAAGATATTTATGTTTTAGCAAAGAAAAAAAATTATACCAAATAATTAAGTCAACTAGTTTAACTCAAAAAAAAAAAAATGATGAAGTCAACTAGCATGACTATAATTTATTCCCAAATGCACTTGAGCCCTGCAGAAACCGTGAATTCATGCGCCTTGCCTAATAATGCGCCCAACCTTTCCTGATTGACGGCTAGAGCTTGATATTAATTAAAAAATATATAAAAATATTTATATATAATCCCAAAAATATGTGCTACCTCTGTTTCGTAATATAAAAATTAAACAACTAATTTGTCAATGTTAAAAAAATTAGTTAAATTGGTTATTTATTATAGATGTGTGTTGATTTTTCTAAACTATCATATTCAATTATGTGCCTTGGATTATTATTAGAATTATTTTTTGGTAGAAATTTCTTTCCCTACAATCAATAGGGATAATATTTTGGGAAAATATAGAAGATAAAGTAAATTGATATTATATATTTTAGATCAAAACTAACATCTAACTAGTTTTTATATTAAGAACAGGAGGTAGTTCGATTTAAATTAAAAATATTAATTCACAGGTAAGTAGAATATTTTCTATTTACATGTAAACCACACCTAGTTCAGCAAAAAATAATTTTTAAAATATAAATATGAGAAGTTACTATTTTTTTAAAATTAAAATAACACTGTTTCAAATTCTAGAAAAGAAAAAAATATTAAATTTAATCTGATTGATCCATTGAAAACTTGAATTTTTTGGTCTAGCTGACGCGATTCGAACTGCATTTTAATACCATGCCTGACACATGTATAGTGAAAATATTGGTAATCTGATTAATGAACAAATAAGCATTGTGGTTGCAACCATGAAGCCACAGTAATAATCTGAAAATAAAAAAAAAATTATAATAATTTTACTTTTTAATATCTATATATAATATATAAAAAAAATTACAAAGCCTCCTGACCATGGGTCATAAACAAAACAATAAAGAGTCTTGGGCAAAAACAAATAGATTTATTTTGCTATTTTTCATGCATTACACGTAATCCACAATAATTTTACAAAACTATTGTATACTAATTTAATTTAGTCCATTATAAAAACAAAAAATTAACATTAACCATTCATATGTAGCATAAAGCTTTAACCGTTAATAATATCATTTATTAGTAATAAATAATAGAACTTATTGTCTTTTAAATTCATTGCCATATATGCAGTATACTATCTCTGATCCTAATTATAAGAGCTAATTAATTAATTTGAGGAGATTAAGAAAAGAAGTTAAGTTAGTTATTTATAATAAATAGTTGTTGTCTTTTCTAAAATATCCTTACTAATCAAGTATATTGAATAGAATTACCATTGTTAGAATAATTACTTTGGAAAAAAATACATAAATATGAGAGACAGAGTGGTTTGGGATCTTATATTTAGGACTGAAATAAAAATCAAATAAAATCTTATATTAAAGAAAACAAGTAGCATTTAATACTAAACTAATAAAAAATATGACATACCACCAGATCCAGTAATAGGCAAATATGTGTGTGCGCGCGGGGAGGATATGTGAAATGTATCGGGACACATCTATCCAACGCACACCAGTGCTTTCTCCTTTATTATTTTTCTTCTTCTTTGTTGGCCAAAACGCACGCCAATCCAATAAATATCAAGTCATATATTCAAAGACAAAAAGAACGAGTTATTGCTATTTTACATTTATCTTGTTGTTTTCTATTGGGGTCTATCTTGTTGTTTCCCTTTATATGCATTCCCCCTTATATAAAATCTTATCTAATTTCCATCCAATCACTTAGTCAAATCTCAAAACCATGTGCTTTTATGAATCATTCTTGGCCGTGCCTTCAGAGAATTACATTAAGATAAAAAAAATTATTAAAAAATCCTAATAACAACATAAATAATTAGAGTAAAAAGTCTTAATAACAACGTAAGTAATTATTAAAAAGTCCAAATGAATGTATAGAACATTTGATACACTAATTCATTTTAATGATATTCACACTGCCCAACCCTCTAACCTTTTTTTTTCCCGAATTATTAATAATTTTTGTATGACCTAAATAATGCATTAAGCATCAGGTGTATAATCACCACGACAAATTATTGAAGTATTTATTCTATTCGACAGCGAGGTCAAAAACAGCATATATTCAGCTGGAATTAAAAATGTGTTTTTGAATCGATTGATCATAATAAATAAAAGAATTGCAACGGGATATATATTTTTTGAATTAAAATGGTTGTGTAATAAGAAATTGGGGGGGTGGGGAACTAAAAGATCAATCACGGGAGGACAAGTTAAAACCAGAAATACTTTTGATAGCACCCAAACACCGCCCAAGTTGTTCACAGGACCGATTAATAGAATATTACACAATTGTATGCTTTCCCCTCAAAAACGTCTTTTCAAGTTTAGTCTTCTTCCAGAGGTAATGCGGCGAGCATGATTGGGATGGCTGCCCAAATTACTTCCTTAATCCAAGAAGTCAATTTAGAGTTAAAATTGAATTTTTATTATTTGTTTAAATAAATTTTTTTATGAAGCTACTTTTTTCTATAAAAAATACTCCTCCGGTCCTTATTATAAGACCTCATTTGACTTTTTATTTGGTCCTAATTATAAGACCCCAATCCATTTTGTCTCTTATATTTATGCATTTTTTCCCAAGATAATCCTTCTAATAATGATAGTTTTAGCCAATATACTTAATTAGCAAAGATATTTTAGGAATGACAACACTTATTTATTATAAATAACCAACTTAACTTACTTCCTTAATCTCCTCAAATAAGTCAATTGGGTCTTATAATTAGGACCAGAGGAGTATATAGTCATCTGGTTCTTAACGTAAGAGATAATTGTTGAGTTGATTTTTTGATCTTAAACGTAAGACTTATTTCTTATATTTATTATTTTTTTTTGAAATTTTATACTTTCTTAAGCTTAATCAAGTAGAAGAGGGATGGAGGATATTAATAAAGATGATTATGATATTTTAGGAAAAACATGTCATATTTCTTATAATTAACCATCTTACATAACATTCTTAATCTAATCAAATTAATCAAATATATCTTATATTAAGAACTGAAGGAGTATAAATATAAATCACGATATACTAATATTTATCATAATTTCTATTCATAAAAGTTAATTAGGATAAAAATCAATTTTGTAAACATTAATCCCAACCTGAAAAGCACATGTTACGTTGAGCTGGTACAATCAAAACATTACACGAATGTGAACGACACGTAAAGTACGTAGTAATATTCAAATAATAAAGCGAGGGAGCATAATTTTATAGATGAATGAAATAAGGAGTTAGCTGAGAAGAAGAGCCCGCACATTCCCACCAAACTCATTAATCATCGTCGTTGACGATCTCCAATCTCTCTCTCTCTCTGCCCTGGTGCGTCCGTCTCCCTCGTCTATGCGCGTGTCTAATAACCTCCCAAGAACTGCAACTACCTCCTACCTATCTACCCTCCACACTCTTTCAATGCTTTAACCCCCCTCCCTTTTCCTTATTTATATATCTCCTCTTCTTTCACCCTTACTTCCCATTCTCACTCTCCACCTTTCTCTATCTCTTCCGTACGTTTTCTCTCAACCCAGAGACTGCTGCCCATTATCTCTGTATCAGCACAGCTATTGCTATGGCACCCTCGTTTTATGATCCCTCTGTCAGCACGGTTTGCGTGATGGACGCTTCGGGTCACCTTGGCTTCAATTTGGTCAAGCGACTCCTTCAACGGGGCTATACCGTCCATGCCTCTGTTCAGGATCATGGTTAATTTCCTTGCCCGCGACTCTGATTCTATAATTCCACTACTTTTGGTTCGTTTTACTTTAATGTTTTGTGAATTGTGATTAGGGGAGGAGCAATTCCGTCGGCTTTCCTCGGATTCCGATAAGCTCAAGATTTTCCGATCGGACCCGTTTGATTACCACAGCATAATTGATGCTCTCAAAGGCTGCTCTGGCTTGTTTTACAACTTTGAGCCACCGAAAGATCAGCCTGATTATGATGTAAGCTTCCTTAATCCCTTTTTTGAAATTCGTTGAGATTATTTGGACGCGTTCATCTTGCTGGCAAAAGTTGCCTCAATAAAAAGAAAAAACATTTACTTAGAGAATTAATGCATGCGCTTAACATGGTTGGTGGTAGTTGGAGAAGACGGCAAGTAGCAGAGTCTGTTTACGTTCGTCAATTACTAGTTTCATCAATAGAGGAAAGTAGTTTCAGAGTTCTTGAAATGAGTGTCCCCAATTTTTTCCCCCTTAAACCGATACTGTGATTAATAATACTTTTCACACACATTATATATTTTCATTTGTAAATATCAGCTTCAGAAACAAATTAGAAAACTCATATTTATCAAGTAAACCAGTTTACTGAAAATTTTTCCTAATTAATTGGCCGGTTACCCACTTTGTTGGGCAGCTATTAGATGCTCTGTGACCTCCAATTGTTCATGCACTTCTGCGAAAATAGAGGAAATAAAGCCTCTGATGCAGTATTAGTTTAAGTTGGTTAATCCTCCCTTGCCCAAATAATTGGTATTATTTATATGTCATTATCATTAATGAATATCACCAAACTCAGTGGCCAACCTCGCACATGAGCATCGGCTTGGTGTGCCAAACTAATTAATCTCTATATTTTAATACCTCCCTCCCAAATGAAAAGAATAAATAAGCCATGAATAAGTGGGTGTGCTCTTGAAATTTCAGAACTAACCAAGCTATTTCCCACAACTGACCAATTTTTTTTTCCTTCCCAAATTCAAAGTTGGCCAGAACCCATTCCATATGAGGCGAATTGTTTCTTTAGCATATTTTAATATACAAGAAAAAGTTTGACCAGGTTGATTATTTAAAGACGGTTGGATTTTCCACCAAACAAAAGGGCAAAACAAAAAAGACGGCGAGATTTATTTATAAGGAGAAATTTAGCGGTTGACTGATATAAATATTCTTATGGCGGTGTTCTGGGTTTGTATATACAGGAATACATGGCGGATGTGGAGGTTAGAGCTGCACACAACGTGCTAGAAGCTTGTGCTCAAACAGAGACCATTGATAAAGTGGTGTTCGCATCCTCAGCCACCGCCGTTGTGTGGAGGGAGGATCGCAAATCCCTTGACTTGGATGAAAGGAATTGGAGTGATGTCAACTTATGTCGAAAGTTCAAGGTAATTATTTCAACTTAGTTATGTTTTACGAAATTGTTTGGCATTGGTTAACTGATTAAACTATGTGTGCTTATGGGCTAGCTCTTGGTTGTATTGCATGGTGTTGTTATTACTCCTCCGGTCCTTAATATAGGACCCAATTCTTGAGTTGGTTTTGGTCCTAAATATAAGACCTATTTCTCATATTTATCAATTTTCTCTAAATTACCCCTATAGACACTCCCTCAACTATAATCAAATAGAAGAAGGAGATGAGGTATTAAAAAAGATGATTATGGTGTTTTAGGAAAAATGTGTCACTTTTTTTATAATTAACTAACTTACCTAACTTCCTTAATCTAATCAAATTAGTTAAATGAGTCTTATATTAAGGACCGGAGGAGTATCATTTTAATCTCAAATAATTAATTGGTTTCCCATGGAGGCCAATGCATGGGACGTGTGATTTAAGGTTTTGCCGATTTTCTTGGAACTATATTTACGTGTAAAAAAATATGATATCCTGATTATGCGTGCACGAAAAATATGTAAAATTAGAATAAATTAAACTTGAAAAGACAGAAGGCACATGAGACCGGCTAGCTTGATGGTTGGGCCATGAATATATAATTATACAAAAGATGGTAAGTATGAGTAACAGTATTGTTATCGAGTGACTATGAGTAAAAATAAGAACCTTGTCCAGAAGTAAGGAGTTAGATAAAAATATACTTGTGTGCCCAATAATTTGAGCCATAACTGTGGCTTACTAAGAAAATGATGGCATCTCAATTATTGGAAGATTCGATGATAAGATGGGTAGTATAAACTTCTAAGTGGGTGTAGTAACTGTGATTGCAATCTGCAAGTGAGTTGAATTAAAATTAATGAAGTTGGTTTGAAATGAAATGGGTGAGCAGTTATGGCATGGGATGTCAAAGACGGTGGCGGAGAAGACAGCCTGGGCGCTGGCCATGGACCGAGGGGTGAACATGGTGTCTATCAACGCCGGCTTGTTGATGGACGACCCCGATCTCTCCATCAAGACTCCATACTTGAGAGGCGCCGCCGAGATGTACGAGGACGGAGTGTTCGTGACCGTCGATCTTGACTTCTTGGTGCACGCCCACGTCTGCATCTTCGAAGACGTCTCATCCTACGGTCGCTATTTGTGCTTCAACCGCGTCATCAATACTCACCACGACGCCAGCACTCTCGCTCGCAAGTTGACTCCTTCAGCCCCTTCCACGTCCCACAGGTTCGTTCATTCCAAAAACAAGTTTGTTTTGAAAAAAAAATATACTCAGCAATTTTACCTTTAAAAAAAAAAAATCACTTGTGATCTGCTTACTTTAATTCGATTGAATTATGTATATTGTGCAGTGAGGAGGGCAAAAAGTTTGTAGAGCAAAGAATAAGCAACAAGAAGTTGAACAAGTTGATGGTGGATTTCCAGAAATGAATTGATTGATTCGGCTATGAGGTGGAGGGGATTTTAGAGCAGTGACGACACGTTAGAATATCGGTGGGGGAGGACTATAAGTAATTTAACTTATTGGGGGGGGGGGGCCTCATTTATTCAGAGTTGTATGTAGGTTGGCTTGTGTAAGAAATCAATGTAATAATTTTGTGAGATAAGTCGAGGCAAGTTGCTTGCCTTTGTGATAAAAACGACCTCCAATTTTTTTATTCTTTGCTGAATGCAAATGCCGCTTCCTGATTCGCCCTGCACAATGATGCTGATCATACACAAAGTCTTTTGTACATGAGAAACCGAAAAGGCCTATTCAAATTGAGACAAAAGCTGAAAAGGAAACAGTATTTCTACAACAAACAATTAAGGACACAGCTTCTCTTCTCTACCTTCTCCTCCGCTGCCCGAGAAACGACGCGGTACGCGAGGGAATAAATGGCCAAATGATGAAGTGAGGCGCGCTGGGTCACGAAAGTGAGGTGGTGGGGCACATTATGACATGAATAATTATTAACAGTTGCTAACAGTGACCCTCGCACGTGTTCAAATTTTTATAAAATCACCAAAAAAAAATTAAAAAAACAAATTAACTGATTAAAAAAATTTGGGTTAAGTAAGTTAAGTTGGTTATTTATAATATCTTAAAATATTTTTAAAATAGTACTTAGTGGTGTAAACTAATTTTTTGTATATTCAACACCCCAAAATATTAATTTTCAGTCCTTAATATAAAAATTACTTTGATTTTTAATTTGGTTCTAAATATAAGATATTAATATCATATTTTTTTGTTTTTTGTTTCAAAATAGTCATGGTAGTGCTCGTACATGTTAAATGTTTCATCATATGGTACTTTTAGTTAATACACATGATTAGTAAAGGTATTTTAAAATAGACAACACCTATTTATTACAAATAAGTAACTTAATAAACTTTCTTAATTAACACAAATTAATTAACTAGCTTTTATATTAAGGATTGGAAGTAGCCCTTTTTTGGGAGAATTACAACGAGGCTCCAATGAAGGAAAGTAACTGCCAATAATTACCAGTGATAAATAAGATGTTGTTATTTTCTATTCTAGAATTTGTCATTACAGGTTGTTTAGATTGTTATTGGGATTTTTAGTAATTATATTTCTTTCTTGAGACTTAATTGCAGTTCTCCTTTTTTTTTTTTTTCCAAAAGCCCTTAGTATCTTAAGTTTAGGGTGCTTCTCGTTACTAAAAAATGCTTTAAGAAAAAAAATTACACCAAATTACTTTAGGATTCTAGGTGTTACTAAAAAAATATTTTAGAGTTTTAAATCCAAAAAAAAAATTCTTTAGAATATTTATGACTCCTTGTAAAGTAAATATCCAACAAAAATTACATTAGACTACTAAGTACTATTTAAAAATTATTTTAAGATATTGAGTCTTACTTTAAAAAAATATTTTAGGAGATTACTTAACCCCCATTTTTTACTCAGTTAATTTGTGTTTCTCAAGTTTTTTGTGATTTCATAAAAGTTTGAACCCGTGCAAAGAGTCACTGTTAATAATTTTTAACAATTATTTATATTATAATGTGCCCCACCACCTCATTTGCGATTTTGCGTGACTTAGGGAGTGTTTGGATAGAAACCAAACCATGGTTTCAAAAGTACTTTTACGGATTACGAAGTAAATATGTAGAGGAGGTTACCTCGTTTTGTGGAAAAATGCTTCTGAAACCACAGTTTTGGAACACCCAAACAGGCCCTTAGCCCGCCTCATCCCATCATTTGGCCATTTGCTCCCTCACGTACGGCATCGTTTATTGGGCTGCGGATAGGCAGCTGAGGAAAAAGTAGAGGAGAGAAGCTGCATCCAACAAATTTAGCTTGTTTGGCATTATGTTTCAATATATTATCTGAATAAGATTCTGGCAAACTAATGTTTTTAATAGTCCATCTAAATATAAATTATTACACTAAACTTTTTTTTTGCCTGAAGCAAAAACCAATTAAAATAAAAGTCAGATTTTGCTTATATCATACAAGGTGATTGGGAAGGAGAGACAATGAAGTCACGTAGATGAAGAGGGAGAACTGGAAACGGCACCTTGAATTTAACCATACTCATATGAAATAGAGTTTGAATCCAAGACAGAGATGAGATGGACGGAGGGAGGGTACGACAGAGAAAAGCTGTTCTAAGCAGGAACCAGACTGGCTGGCTAGGAAACAAGGAAAAATGCTCTTGGAATTGAATTGACTCATAAAAGGACTTGCAACTGTCTGGCTTTACGAGAACGCAACCACATTGATGAAATGGTGACGACAACCTCAGCCACACAGTGTCAAGGGTTATAATTGCAATTCACACGATACGTATGCATATAATTTTCTTTTTCTGGCCAAATACGTATGCATATAATTGAGTTCATACAATACAATAGATCAAACAAGTTCAAAGGGAACGAACAGGTCTAACACTATCAACACAACGGTACAAACAAGTTGTCATTTGCGGGACACTATTCCGACAACAACCCCCATGAATGGTAAAACAACAAATTAAATTAATAATGTCGCGAAATTCATGTTATAAATATACTAATGAACTCCAAGTTAATTTCTTTCCCCAAAATTCCTATCAAGTACTACTTCTGATCCTTAATATAAGATTCTGTTTAACTTTTATTTTAGTCCTAAATATAAGACCTCCAATCCACTTTATCTCTCATATTTACTCAATTTTTTTCAAGATAGTCATTCTAATAATCATAGTTATAGTTAATACACTTTATTAGCAAGGATATTTTAGGAAAGACAACACTTATTTAGGACAAATAACTAATTTATCTTACTTCTTTAATCTCCTCAAATTAGTTAACTGGCTCTTATAATTAAGACCGGAGGTAGCATTTAATTTGGATTTCACCGTATATTTGGCGCAAAATTTAAAATGGGCAGCACCATTTATAATATTCCCCCTCTCATTCATTTTATAAGCTCTAATTAATTACTTTACATAGATGGCAAAAAAATAAAAAATCACTCTACATAAATTAAGAAATTTAGATAAAACTAATTATTTATTGTAAAAAATCTCAACAATTATGTTTCATGGGTCAGCTTGATTGGTTATAATGTTTTATTCACTCTCTTAAAATTTAATAACTTCTCAATTTTACTTCTATTAATATATAATACATTTTAAATATTTTTTTCATAAACACTAAATAAAAGGTAAGTTATACTCCCTCTAATTCAAAATATAAGTTAAACTTTATCCATTTACATTTATGAAGAAATCAGTTAAAATAAATTTAAAACAATAAATACGTAAAATATATTTATTTTTTCAAAATATGCCTTTATTAACAAAGATAAGAAGTAAAAGCTGCAATAAATAAATCAAAGAGGAAAGAGAATATATAGAAGTAAAATTGAAAAAACATATTAAATATTAAGACAAAAAATAAGGTTATCTTAAAAAAAAATCAAATTTCTCCAATAAAGTTTAATTTATATTTAAATCAGAGGCAGTATATTAAAATGAAAATTTAGGGGGGGAAAAAACATCTCCTTTCTTTATTAATTACTGCAAGAAAAGATAGGATGGCAATCTCTTGCCTTTTTTATTAATGACTGCAAATCTTTTTTCTCATCTCCAACTATAAATTTGTCCAATCTTCTAAATTAATACAGTGAATCCGTTTCCTAATTCGGTAATTCCAAATCATTTCATGCTCTTTCACCATGTTTTCTCCAGATGCCGCAGATCTAGCTACTTACCTCCTCGTTGAGTCATTTTGGTGTCCTCTATTTTCTTTTTCCTCCTAACTTATCCATTTTGCTTTTTATCTATGTCTGGTCCGGTGGGCTGTTGTTTTCGTTCTTGTTTGGTCTCAGAGATGTGTTTGATGTTTTAGTTAAACAAGGTAGCACCGGACTACTTGCTTAGGGTTTTCTTTCTGTTACTCTAACTTAAAATTGTACACTTTTGTATCTCCATTATTCTTGTAATGGATTATGGTCGAGATGGAAACGTCGTTCAAATAATCACTGGCGGTGGAAATGAAAACTGGTCCAGTGACCAGGCCGTCTGGGCAACGGAAGACGATTATCGATTCTGGAACAACGGGGATTCTGACACTCCCTCGGACTCGAATTACGATCAAAGGCAGTCCCAATCACGATCTGGGAGCGAACCCCCCAATAAGAAATCCAGGAATTCTCAGGATGTGTCTTCATCGAATCGGTCCAAAGCTATAGGGAAAATGTTCTTCAAGACAAAACTGTGTTGCAAATTCCGGGCCGGTACATGTCCTTACATCACGAACTGCAATTTCGCCCACAGTGTTGAAGAGCTTCGACGGCCACCTCCGAATTGGCAAGAAATTGTGGCTGCTCATGAGGAGGAAAAATCCATAATGTCGGAACCGAGGGAGGAGTTTCAAATTCCGTCCATTGGGTCGTCCGGGTTTGCTGGGGAGATGCAGAGAGCGTATAAAGGTCGCCATTGCAAGAAGTTTTACACGGAAGAAGGATGCCCATATGGAGATAATTGTACATTTCTTCATGACGAGCAATCTAGGAATCGTGAGAGTGTGGCTATAAGTTTAGGCCCCGGTGGGTATGGTGGTGCTGGGAGCGGCTCTAGTTCCAAGCCATCAAATTGGAAAACACGGATTTGCAATAAGTGGGAGATGACTGGGTATTGCCCATTTGGAAATAAATGTCATTTTGCTCATGGTGCTGCAGGTATGATTCGCTAACCTTGAGATGTTGAAGAGCTTATGCTTTAATTGAAGAAAGATGAACTTTTATGCTGTAATCTTTTCAAATCAGCCAAATCGTCAAAATTACTCTTAAGCAAGATTTTCTTAGAACTTAAAGACCTGAAATATATATATATATATATATATATATATATATATTTAAAAAGGAATTAGCGTCATCTTTTAGTCTGGTGACGACTTGGGATAACGATGCTTGATCATAATTAAGGGGATGTGTATTGGACATAGCATTCTGCTGGAATTAAAATTAGTTTGTGACCGTCACTTTAGTTGGATACACATTCTGTGACCGAGATAATAGTTCCGCGTATTGACATTAGGTTGCTTTTGGATTACTACACATAAAATTTTCATTTCCGATTGTCACTACGGCTATAATTTCGTATAAAACAAAATTCCCTTTGGCACCACAATGCAAAAACATGTCTGTGGTGGCGGATACTAACTACTGAGAGCTATTATTATATGATAAGCATGACTTTCATTAAGCATACCAGTCAAGTTTACTTTGAACTGGCTTATTTATCCCTTACAATGTTTTATTTAGAAAATGAGGGACACATTCGTATAATCAGAAAAAAGGGTTCTTATTCATTGCCTAGTGAAAGGTCTAACAAACAACTGAAATACAGTTACAGCAGAATTATTGACTGAGCTAGGGAAATTTCTTTTTCATTTCTTTCAAACTCTTATGCACTTAGCCAAGACTTTGTCAAAGGAAGCATGGGGAGCTAGCTACCCTGGCCTTTTGTGGTTTATTGCCACGCGTATAAGCTGCAAGGTATGAGTTCGAGAGCTGCTGTCCCACCCAAAAGAAAAAAAAAGGGAAGCATGGGGAGAATAAATTCATGATAATTGTGTTCATTTATGATGTACTCCTCCGGTCCTTAATATAAGACCCATTTAACTAATTTGATTAGATTAAGGAAGTTAGGTAAGTTAGTTAATTATAAGAAAAGTGACACATTTTTCCTAAAACACCACAATCATCTTTTTAATACCCCCTCTCCTTCTTTACTTGATTATGGTTGAGGGAGTATTCATAGGGGTAATTTAGAGAAAATTGATAAATCTGAGAAAGGGCTCTTATATTTAGGACCAAAACCAACTCAAGAATTGGGTCTTATATTAAGGACCGGAGGAGTACCTGTAATTGGGAATTTATTTGTAACCTTTTTTTCCTTGGCCACTGGACTTTATGCATTGCGTAGAAGTTTAGAACTCTGTTTTTTGAGTCATGGGTTATCTCATTCGTAGCTGGACCATTAGTGGTAGTTATGTTCGCTTGAGTCTTAATTTTGGATTTCTTATCCTAGTTAAATTAGAGCTGTTTAAATCACCTATAAAAAGGCATATATCTGTCTGATGGGCTGCAGCTTTGTCGTTGAGCCTGTGATAATATTCAGGAATTCCGATATTGTTCTTCAGTTTCCCATTTTCTTTCTACACCACTAGACGGTGGGTCCTGTGTGTTGCATAGAATTTGAAGTGAGGCTTAGCTCATTAATTATGAGCAATGCTTTGCCTTCCTATAAATTATGTGGTGTGTTAATATAACGAGGATTCTCACCTTTTGCTTCCTACGCTTTGTGTGCTTTAATATCTTAGCTTGCTTTGTCTGATATAAGGAAGCAGCATTTGAAAACTTGAAAAATAGAAGTTGGGCTATGTTCAGAAAGAGAATAGCTTAAATCCTCAGGGCTTTTAGAGATGCTTTTAAGATGGCATGAGACCGTGAGTCATGCTTACACTGGTGCACTTTTAGGCAACTTATGATATTACAGTAGAGGCCAAATTTAAAGAAGCTTGCCAGAAGATGGGCATTCTAATTATATTTGTTGAAGAATGAAGTTGGACCCAGCTGAAAAATAGCTGAATACTTAAAGTCACTGAGTCCTCTCAGGATTAAACAATGGCATCTTAAGATGCATATTATTTTTAACTGAGCAACATCATATGGAGGAAAATCAAATTCTCAGAAAAAACTATGTACTTAACATATAAGGTGCAAAAAGTTGTGATCGAGATAGTTATAAAAAGGATGTGATTGAAATAGGTGTCTACTGCCAAAGGTCTTATAGCTTAGTGGCATTGATACTCTCCTGTAAGTTGAAGGTCGCGGGTTTGATCCCCCTTGTAACTCAGGTTGTTAGTGCTTGCCCTTTTAATTAAAAAGGAAAAAAGCTGTCTACCCCAAAACCTGTGGATTGGAAAGGAAAAATAAAGGAGGAGAATAGAGAGAGAACTGGGGGAGGATGATTATAGGAATGATTAACTATTTAGCTTAGTCATTATTTGGTTGCCTGCTCATTTCAAATCAATGAAAACTGGTGCAATTATCAACCTGAAAAAGAAGATTGCATCTAAAATGGCAAGAGTATATGTAATTAGAAAAATTTGCCCAGTTGATTTTGGTACGTCACTGTCTCTCTTTCTGAGAGAATGAGACTGAGCTGCGGATTTTGTGGCTGAAGTTGGAAACGACTGATGTGCGTTCATGGTTCTGTGCTTTCTAGGCTAAAACAATAAAAAGAAGAGAAGATTACCTTGTATTGGGATTACATCCTTTACCCTTAAATGGAGCTGTGTATTTGTGATATAGTGTTAAGCAAGAGCTGGAGGATAAAAGTCTTATTCGATGTAATGCTATTGTCGTTAATGTTACTCTACACTCATCATGAAAGTTATCTGAGACATATGTTTGTCATCGTCAATTAAATGCTAATGATGTAGTCAGTGTGCATGCTACTTATTGTTCTGTCCGAATGCTATCTGCACCAAGGAATGAGTCCAGTGCTGTTGTAGTCTCAGCTAATCTATCAGTCCTTGTCCTTGTGGGTAATATTTAAAGACATTTTTCTTTGACGTTAACATAAGCAAATACTCAAGTACTTTGTGGGCTTTAACTGTTACTGCTAGAACTGTGTTTAACCAGCCGTTTCACGGTCTGAGTTTTCATTGTATATTTCCACCTCAGAGTTGCACCGATATGGAGGGGGTCCTATGGAGGGAGAAAATAGGGACCCTGGATCTGCTACTGCTCCTGACACGAAGCAGGGTGGGGTGCCTTCGAAAACGCCTGCTGATAATGTGGTTTCAGCAGTCACTCCTGTGGCTCATCCTGATGTCTATCATATTGGAGTTCCTTCACAGAGATCTTCCATTGTGATTCAGCGGCCAGGTCAGAGAGCTCATCAGAAGTGGAAGGGTCCGGATAAAATCAGTAGGATATATGGTGATTGGATTGATGACTTGGAATGAATTCAGGAGTCCCATTTTTGCTATCGGAGGAAACGGCTGATAAGGATTTATGGCCACGACGTGTATCACCTATAAACTGGATATGTAGTTTCCTTAGGCTGTGATCTTATCATATGATGATCATGTATCTCTGGTCTTCTCTTTGCGAAGAAAGCACAGGGGGAAGGGATGAGTTATTTTATGATTTCCATTCTCACCTTTTTTGTGTATCACTTTAACCTATCAGATGAACTTTTCATCCTACGAGAACATTGTTTCAATTCACTAATATATGTTCCGTTTCTAAATTTGATCCATAGCCGCATCACCGTATCTGCATCAGATTCTGTGCCTGTTATGGTTCTTCTCTCTTCTTATCAAACGCATTAGCCCTTGTCTTTCTTGCGCTTGACTATGTTTAAAAAGAGTGAGAGCCCCTGCATAATTTTATGAAAAGTAAGCCTAGAAACAGTCTATGAAGGGCATGGCCTGTTTATCCGATATTATGTTTCGACTTTCGACCCAAAATAAATCCATTTAAATACTATCTTCCGTTCTAAATATATTTGATACTAAATATAAAATTAATTGACTAATTTGAGTATATTAAAAAAATAAATTAATTTAGTTATTTGTAATAAATAGGTGTTATTTTTTCTAAAATATTCTTGCTAATTAAGTGTCTTGGTTAGAACTACTATTATTGGAAGGATTACTTTAGAAAAAATACATAAATATGAGAGACAAAATGGATTGGAGTTTTATATTTAGGACCAAAATAAAAGTCAAATGAGATTTTATATTAAGGATCGGAGGTGGTATATAAATACTCATTCCCTTTGAAACTGAGGTGTTTTTTTAAAGAAAAAATGACAAAAAAAGAAGTTGAAAATTATTAAATCTCAAATCAAGTTTGGTAATAGCATTTTATTTGATGTTGACAACGTTAAATTTGTAAATGACAATAAATTTTTATTGATATTCAGTCATTTTTAGCTTCTTTGTTTTTATCATTTTTTTAGTCTAATTTACATCCTCCATAAATTAGATAATATCATTAAAACATTATACATTCTTTTCATAGTTCAATGTTAGTCTAAAGTTTTGAGGGAAAAAATATGATGTTGCCCTTTGTTGAGTATACCTTATTTTGACCATTAGTCCATGGAGACCAATATAGTTACTAATTAAGTTTTTAAAATTTATAAATAAATGTCAAAGGACTAATGTTATTTCTTATCATGTGTTAGTAAGTAGTTAAAAATATTTTTATTTTAATAATATTTTATTAAAATATTAACACTTTTATAATTAATAATTGATAATCTAAATATTAATTAATATTATTTTCAAATCTTTATATATACAATTTACAATTTTTCAAGGTTTACAAAATACTCGTATATAAGAATTTATAAATTAATTATTATATTATTATTTATAAGGTAATGGGTAATAATTTATAACTTTTTCCCAAAATATATAATTGCCCTTGGCCATCACGACAGGAGATCGACAAGAGGGAACAGGGTTTATAAGCTAACGGCCCATATGGAGAAGAGCGCGCCCTACTGGGTCTCAATTCTCCAGACGCTACATTCCGACCTGGTGGGGTTGAAAGCAATTTGTGTTCTGCTATTTTAGTTCGGCCAAAGCTGGGTATTACACTTGTCTCGTCGCCTCACCTGGGCGAGGCTTTTCAGCTGTTTCCCATGGATTCTTATAAGCTTGAGAAAGAAAAGTAACTCTCGTTGTCCCTGTAGTTTCTTTACTATAATTCAGAGTTTATCACATTTGATGCCGTCTTTTGTTTTAATTTTCCTGTTAATTATACAGGTTCGTGACCAATTTGACCGGATCCTCTATGCTGGAAATAGCGGTTCTCACAATGACAATTCCTGTGAGTCTCCTCGGGCTGGATTGAATAGTACTAATCTTTATATTAACTAAGATATGATACAGTTCTCATTGTGCTTTCAGTTGTTGGCCGTTTTTCGTCACTCAACCATCTCCAATTCCATTGCCGGTCAGTCCTGAGACTTTTTTTTTCATGTTGGTTTTTTTTTTTTTTTTTTTAAATCTAGATTCGATGAATTTGACATTTACAAATCTCCAGATTTTGGATTTTCTGTTTTTGCATTTGCTTCTAGCTTGCCATGTTAGTTCATTGATACTCCAGATTTTAGTTTTTCCCTTCCCAATGGCATAAAAGCATATTACATGCTAGTAATTGGTCCACGTTTCTCTTGTTTGTTCCATTAAGGTCCGCTTGGTGCATAGCATCATACATGGCGCAGATAAGATATGTTGTTTCATTTATTTATTTTTTTAATTTCTTCTCCACCATAGGTGGCTCGCTGAAGAAAACAGATGATGCAGTTGCTGAGTCTAGAAATCTGAAAACATACTTAACTACCTTGTGTTTGGATTATCTTGTCATTATTCTTCCTGTTTCCGCGTTTGGCACTGTAAGTGTTCATATCAAGTATTTTTCCAGAAGTACAAAATGCCTGCTTCAAGGATGCTTGTTCAAACTCTAATTGATACCAAGGCTGTGGATGTTAAAAATTCCAGTCGCTTAAGGAGATTTTGGTTTATAAACGGTCCGTTTTAATGAATAAAATACTTCATTTTTGAGAGGGTGCTTGTAATTTCTTGCTCGTCTCATTCTTTTGCTCTTTCTCCCTCCCTCCCTCTGTTCGGGGATCTGGTTGAAAATAGCAAGATTCTAATATGTCTGCGTTTTTTTTTCGAGAAAAATTACTCAATTTTTAAATCATTTTTTGCTTTGTTTCCTTTTTTTTATTTTTTATTTTTACTTTGGTTTCTAAACATGCATTACAGGTACTGGCAGATCGGACCTATATTGGGTCATTTGTGATTGTACTCTTCACCTTAATTTCTGTTGCTGCCAAAAGGTAGTCATGTGAATTTATTTTCCTAACCTTTTGAAGGAAGAGATTTATGCCATCAATCAATCTTTGATTCTTAAAATTTCGCATGAGTTTGATTCTGAAGCACATGATGATTCACTTTGTGTTCTTAGGTGCAAATATGGTGGTTCTTCTCTTTCTTTTGAGGGGGATTCCAGGTCTCTCCGTGCATACATTTCATCATACAGGTTTATTGTGGTATGTAAAGTTCCCATTGAACTCTGTCATTCCATTTTACCAATTTTTCTTTTTTCCATTGTGATGAAATTTAACCTTTGCAGATGATTATAACATGTGCGTGTATTTTGGCTGTTGACTTCAGAATATTTCCCAGAAGATTTGCGAAGACTGAAACGTATGGAACTAGTTTGGTGAGATTTTTAAGAAATTTGTAACTTCGCTTTTTATGTTTATAACTAGACAAGTGAGCTATTTATTGTAATTTTATGGTACATGAACCAATCTTGTACTACAGTTTGAAAAAGAGGGACATCCCCCAACAACCTCCACACTTCTACTCATCTTTCAATTGATTCTTATCTATTGAAAGAGTTTCTTCAGTTATATATTTGCATAGGTTGTTCAATTTTGGAAGGATTTTTTGGCTCAAGGAAAGATAATAATGGGACATAAAATATTAACTAACTTATGTGTTGGTTTGGTATCTCTTTATCATGTGGCTGCCCTGTATTTGCTGCTTGGTGCGTCCATTTTTTTCTGTTTTACTGAGTCAGATGCCAAGTAGTAGCATGTCTGATAATATCATTATATTATTGAATTTGAGAATAATTGTGCATGCCAGATGGATCTTGGAGTTGGATCATTTGTGGTGGTAAACTCATTTGTTTCTCGGCAAGCTAGAAATATCATATCAACGTGAGTAATCAGACTTGTCTCTATGAATGATCTTTAAGACCTAATTGCATTAACTTGCAAAGTGAACTCGTAAATTTTTTGTGTATATAAGCCCACTATGATGCAATAATATGCATACATACATATATATATATATATTGATATGGCAGTGATTTTCTCTCAGCTTTTATGAAATGTTAGTTGTTCCAGCCAAATCAGTTAGAGAGCTTAGATGCCAGTCTTATACTATGGGCAAAGAGGCCATGTGTCTAACATGCCCTTGCTGACAGGATTTTGGTTATGGTTTTTCTCCTTCCTCCCCTGGCTTCATCACCTTGTGCAAAAATTTTTAATCTCCTTATTGTAATCTTGATTTGGCGTCAATAAAATATAAAACGGGGAACCCCTATGTTATTGGCACAATTAAGTTGTTGGAGAAACAAGATATTGGATTGGTTACCCATACTATTCCAATGGAACTTGAGACCAAACTTCTGTGTCCTAAACTCATTATAATTGTAGAAGTTGACATTAAAGAAGGAATTGAGTAGGCAGTGGAAATTTAAGGCCAAGCAGTTTCCGACTTTCCATGGTGTGGTGCCATTGCAAAATCACTTGATTGTCTTTGCATTCTAAAAAAGAATTCCTCAAACATATTGAAAGCCTTGTATTTCCTATCTTTAGAAGGATACTATTGGGATGTGTTGAAAGTTCTCCTTTAAAATTTGATAGGACATCACAGGGAAATTTTTCTTTTGGCGCCTCCCAAATGTCGTGTAGTTACTTGTTTGAGGAGCTTAGATCTGAATATATGTTGTCTGTGGTGTAGTACTATACTGCATTTTGCATTCATCTGATTACATCAATTTTCCCATGCTTCAGTGGCTGGAAGACTGCAGTGCTGTCCACTATTCCACTGATTATCTTAGGATTTATTCGTATCGTTACAACAACGGGTATCAATTATCAGGTAGCATTATTTTCCTGGGTTTCCTCATAAATTGTCGCATGGTATGCAATTTCTGTCCCACGGATCTTAGTGAGCTAATTAGCTTTCAATATGATAAAGAGATGATAGTCTTTTGGTGTTTACTGTTGTAGACATTCTCTGTCCAAAATGAGTAGTAAAATAATATAAAATGAGAGGAAGAACAAGTGCAGTAGCTCTCATGGTTGTTCTGGACAATGATTTGCTGCTATGGCCTTTCCGCTAGACGTTTGAGCTCTTCTGGTCAAATTATTAGTTCAAGGCATTCTTATGGAAATGTATACTTAAATTTCATTTTCATACAGCTACATGTGAGTGAATATGGTGTGCATTGGAATTTTTTCTTCACACTTGCTGGGATTTCAATCCTTACTTCCGTGGTTAATATTCCCGCACAATATTCTGGAATTCTTGGTTCTCTTGTCTTAATAGGTAAATGATTATTTCAGGCTTCTTTCCAGATCTTATCTTTTGTAACGTGATTATTTTTTAAAGTTTATTTTCTGTTTTTAAGGGTACCAGCTCTGCTTGTTACGTGGGTTAAATAATTATCTGCTTTCTGATGAAAGAGGAACTGATATTATCAGCCAAAATAAGGAGGGGCTATTTAGCTTATTTGGTGAGAATTATACCCTTCATGTTTTAATGTTGGTGTTGGGTATGAGATTTGGTGATAAAGTACTTTCAATCATTTTGCTTCATGTATATAATTTTTAGTCAAATTATGTTATTCTGTCACCAGGATACTGGGGTATGTACCTCATTGGTGTTCATTTGGCAAATTATCTTTTCTTTGGAAGATCCTCCTCTGCGTTTAAAAGCAGCAGATGGGTTAGAATAAGAGTATGGATTCTCTGTCTATTATTCTGGTAATCCTTTATCCAGTACCTGATTGACTCTTTTCAATGAAGTTCACTGTTACAATTGCATTCTTCTCCTTCTGTTACATGCCCGTGTCAGGTTATTAACCGTGCTGCTAGACAGATATGTTGAAAGAGTCTCACGGAGAATGGTAGGACATCTTACCATTTGAAGATATTTTAACTAATCGGGCATTAATTTAAATGGGCGAAGGTGTACTTTAGTCCTTAAATTTGTGGTGGCTTTCAGTTTCGTCCCTTTTTTAAACAATTAAGTCAAGCCCTATAATTTGCTAAAATGTTTCAGTGTTTTTTTCTAAGAGATTACTCCATCAGAGCCATTGGCAGAATCCTCCTACCTGGCATTTGCATGGTCACATCATACAGTTACATGTCCATTGAAGAGCACGGTAAAAACCTTAGTTCCTAGGGCTCTTCTTCCCTTTTCCTCTCCTAAATTCAGCTAAGCAAGAGATCCACCAAGAATCAAACCTAGCTAGCATTTGGAAATGAATTAATGTTATGATAAAGCCCTTGTGGTTCTGCCACCATCCATTAATCCTTATAATTTTTAAATCAATTTCCTCTACTCTCTCTTCCACTTTCTTTGGCCATGTTAGGAGAATTGAAGAAGACATATAGTACATGGTAAAACTTGGTTTTGGCTAATTACTTCTTATTGCTGTTGTTGTTTTGATTACAAATGTTAAACCATCAAAATACAGCAAGAACAGATTATAAATGCCTCAAACAGTATGGAGACAACAGGTTGGTGTTTAATCAAACAACACAAAATCATTGGTGTTTATGTGCAACCCTCGCATGCTCATTTGCACACCTATTATTAACTTCCCTACACATGCAATGAAGGTTAATCTTGCTGTCCATAAGCATAACTCTGGCCTTTTCTATTTCTTCGTTGTGGAAACACATTGATGAGATCTGGGCTTGGGAAATTTAAAAAAAAAAGAAAGAAAGAAAGAAAGAAAATTCTGGTGAAGATAATAATGCTATAATCTCAAAATGCTACAACTTCAATAGACTGAGGAGAGTCTCCAAATACAAGTTCAAACTGCCAACTCCCCACTTTTCCCCTCAGTCCTCTCTCTCTTTCGTTGCGTGTGATTAGGTTTGATGGGGTTTATGGGACACGTGGGACTTTATCACATGCACAGACACACATATCAAATAACTTGTGCCTTGCCTTGGCCAAAGCATGGAAGTTTCTTCTTTTAATGTATGTTGCAATACAAATTAAATGAATGGGTTTCCTTAATAATATAGGAATAATAAAACACGAAGTATTGCTAATATCAATATCATTGTAAATACTAAATTTAATAGCCTTTAAACCTTTGTTCTTTAATTAGAGATTAACTTAATAATTCATAGCTTTAATAATACTACTAGGATAGGGTAATTCCAAATTTTACACTTCCCCTTTTGATGTTTGCCTTGGAGTCTGTTGGTATTTTGTTTCTTCTGAGTTGTAGAAGAAATAGAAGAATAAGGGATTGGTGGGGTGCAAGGGATTGTACAGATTGGGAGTGTAAAGGTAGTTGGCAGCTGAGTTGAGAGCAAGATAAGTCTCAAAAGTTGATTGATAATTGTGCCAGTAATTTTGTTTGAATTATGAAATCCTTATGAAGCGTTGGGCATGAATGTAATGTGATCATCAGAGACTAGCTACTGACTTTTACACATATATGCCATGTAAGATGCGATTGAGGCTAAAAAAATTAAAGGGACGGAATGGAAACACCTCCAACCTAAGGGACTAAAGTTCACTTATGCCTTTTGGAATCGGTGGATGAAATCTAATTTTTACCATTCTGTGCAGTGCAACCTTCCATATGTTGTTATGGTATTCGCTAACAACCTACAGGTTATCCTTACTTCCTTTTATTTATGAATCTCGTGTTTTGGTAGTTTGATGGGGACTGTTCACTCTAGCTTGTTTCAAGGCTGCCAACATATTAGGGTTCTTCTCTTAATCTATCTTTATTGGTATTAATTAGCATTTATCAGCCTATTTTGATGGAACTGGGTCCTTAAAGTAATGTGTCATACCAATTGCAGCAGCATGTATTTCAATAGTTTCATAATTCTTATTTTCCTAGTAGAGCATTGGTGAATCTACTGTAAAAAATGTGACTACCATTTGGGCATCAGATTACGGATTCAGTATTTGAATCCCTGATCAGAATATTACTTTTTATTTGTTTTCAGATTTTTTCAATTCTGATGCTGGGCGATCTTGTTCCTGGACGTAAAATTTCAATACTTGAAGAAGCATTTAATCGGAACTTACTGCCCACATTTCTTCTGGTGAACAACGTTTCCCTTAGATAAATTTACATTTCTTTCTCTCTAGTTTTCCTTTTTAATTAATCATAATTATTCATTTGCAGGCAAATCTCTTCACAGGACTGATAAACATGTCTATCAATACCCTCTCTGCGTCATCTTTTACAGCCACTTGTATCTTGATTGTCTATACCTTAGTTTTATCAATTACGGCTGGAATTGCTGATTTTTATGGTATCAAGCTGAAACTTGGTTGATGCTGCCCGTTGGCGTTGCTCCTGCCTCCTCTTATTTATAGTATTAAAGTGACAAAAAAGATTTTGTAAATCTTCCAGATAACCTACTAGCTTAGGATCCATATGCATTGCAATCGACTTTTGTACAAAAAGTGAGATTGGAAGTTCCAATTCTATTTTGCCTCCATCTGGTTAACGGTTGAGAAAATTTTAGATCTTACCGAAATTGTCATTGTTGAGAATGCGTATGTGTGACGATAAATCAATGAAGATATTGATTATAAAGCTTAGTTCCATGGATCTCAAATATAATGGAGAGCCATTTCTTTGTAACTGCTTGTATTGTATATCAGTGAGCTCTTGCACGGGACTCTGGTCACTCTCACGCCAGTGCATGCAATTATGTTTTGTATGCTTTCGAAAGTTTAAATAAGGTCAAATCAAGATTTATATGTAAAATTTATTATATAAAAATTCTTGTAATTAATATTATTAAATTTTTACAATCTATTCGTTATGATTTAATTAGATAAAACTGTGCTAAGTGTATATGATATAATATTCAATTCTTTTCCTTTGTGTTAAGAGAAGTTAGGCGAACGATGTGAACATTTGATCCGCATTGAAGTTTGCATCTTATATCTTTTTTCCTGATAACTTATAAATATGATCAAACAATTTAAAATGGGCTATTCATAAATTATACAATTTTGAAATGCAACATTTATAAGATTTCGAGCAATTTTCTTTGGCACATGAAGGGTCTAAATTTTGAACTTCAACCCAGATCCCACTAAGGCCCAAAAAAAGGAACCCAGATCCCAAATAGTTTAACTTATTACCGATCCAGTATGAGAAAAGATAATCATATTAAATTTCAATAAGGTAACATTAAAAGGGACATATAGTCCTTAGAGTACACGCCTCTAGAAAGCTGAGAATTGTTTTCGAGGTCACATGCCACAATCTTAAACAGGTGATGCTTTTTTTGACCCTGCCCTGTTCAGCTTTTGTAAGTCTCTCGTTTTGATTAATACATACATACAGTTGCAGTTAAAAAAAAAAAAAAGAGCCCTTAAGGCTGCCGTGACATCTACAAGTTCACTGACGTCAATACCTTAATATAAAATATTATCTCCAGTTTTTAAAGGGGAAAATGACAATAAAATACCACTTGAATTTCAAAAAGACAAATAAGAGACCTGAATAAGCAAAATGACAAATAGGGCACTGGGTACCAATCTGGAATTTTGATTTTTGATGTCAAAACATGTTACAAAACCCATTGACAAAGTAGTAACTCTCACTATGAAAGTTGTAAATCCCACTATGTGTTTTGTAAAATTCAGTGTGGAATTATATTCTTTTTTATAGAAAAGTTGCCTAACCCCTCAAAACAGGTTGCAAAAGCCATTAACCAAGTAGTAATTCTCATTATGAAAGTTGTAAATCCCACTATGTGTTTGTAAAATTAGGCAAAACTTGCTCGGCCCTTCAAAACAGGTTGTAAAACCCATTGACGAAGTAGTAACTCTCACTATGAAAGTTGTAAATCCCACTATGTGTTTTGTAAAATTCAAAATCAAAATCCCATATTGGTAGCTGATGCCTTCTTTGTCATTTTGCTTATTCAGGTCCCTTATTTGTCTTTTTAGAATTCAAGTGGTATTTTATTGTCATTTTCCCTTTTTAAAATAAGAACCAGATAATAAATTTGAATAGATTAAAAAAGTTTGTTAAGTTAATTATTTGTAATAAATAGATCTTATCTTTTTTTAAACTATCTTTACTAATAATGTGTATTAGCTAAAATTACCAATTAATAAAACATTTAAAATATGCAATTACTATAAGGAATGCCTTGAAAATAAATGAATAAATATGAGAGATAGAGTGGATTGAAATCTTATATTGAGGATTAAATTGAAAGTCAAACTAGTTTTTATATTAAAGATATGTAGTATAAAATTTATAATATGCCATATTATTTATAAATTATGAATATGAAAAATGTTATTATCCATCTTAAATTTCATGAAGGACTGAATTAATCTTTCTTCTTTCTTCTTCTTCTTTTTTTTTTTTTTGGGTTTTTGCCAACGGACTGAGTTAATCTCATGATTAGCACATTGACAAGTTGAAACAAGCCAATTCTGCGGTCTTTGCCAGCATGACTGACATGCGATATCCAAATTACCCTTCCTATGATTTTCTTAAAAACTCCAATATTTTACTGAGCTTCCTAAAGGAAAAGAGATCAGATGGATATCTACACATTGAAAATTTCAATTGCATATGCAATTATTAGATGCGACAGAATCAAACTTGTTTAAATAAAACTGAAACTAGATGATAGAGTCCCCAGAGCCATCATATATATAACAGAGAGTAGAGGGTGTTTAATTGTAAAATATTGAAAGGGGAATCTGAGGTACGTGAAGCAGTCATGTCCTGCAAAGCCCAACACAGATTTGAATGCGAGGAGTAGCTATTGCACAGCTCGTTTCGTTGTTTGTATGCGTCTTTCTATATAGATTTGGGTCCCCCCCGGCCCCCATCATCCCTCCAGTCTTTTGACAGTATCTGTGAATTTTTGGAAATCACAGCGATATTTGTGTGTGACTGTCAGCTTCCTTCCCTTTCCTTTCCTTTTTACGCTCTCTTCCTTTGCTGAAAAGCACCTCTCCTTTTTTCTGCCCCTTCTCACATGCTTCGAATCCTCTCCTCCTCCATTATTTACCCTTCTCTCTCTCTCTCTCTCTCCAGCTCTCAAACTCTCTGCATGTTATATCAGTCAATTGGGATTTGCTATGTGATGTTTTATATGCTCCATTAGTTCTCTCTGGCTCATCACTCACTTGAAGGGAAGGGATGATGGCTCTGCTTGAGACTCTTTCGCCTAATGAGCTTTACAACTTCATTATCCATGACACTATCTCTGCAACCCCCTTTATCCACCTTGATTCCTCCTCAGAAGCTGCTGTCTTGTTTGAGAACAGAGTGAATCCAGTCGAACATGACCCTGCAATGTTCGGTGATTTCTCTTCTTCAAGGAAACGTCGTCATTCTGATGAGCTTCAGGTGCCTGTTGTGCAAGGAAGGAAGAAGAGGAGAAGGAAGCCAAGAGTTTGTAAGAACAAAGAAGAAGCTGAGACGCAGAGAATGACCCACATTGCGGTTGAAAGAAACCGCCGCAAGCAGATGAATGAGCATCTCGCCGTCCTGCGTTCACTCATGCCTGAATCCTACGTCCAAAGGGTTTGCCTTTAATCCTTTTCTCTTTTTTCTTGGGATTTTTCAAGCCAAAGTTGGAAATGTTGAGGTTCATATTAAAAGCAGAGATAAACAAATTCCTCTGTTCATCGTACTGCAAAGCACAGACCAAAAGTTTCAAACTTTTACGCACAGCTTTTTCAAGAAAGACATTTATGATGGAAATTTAAAGCTGTCTACATTAATAAATGTCCAAATTGTATATATCTTGCAGGGTGACCAGGCCTCTATAGTGGGTGGTGCCATAGAATTTGTGAAGGAGCTTGAGCATCTGCTGCAGTCACTTGAAGCTAAGAAATTGCAGCTTCTGCAACAAGATGCAGCACAAACTAATGAAGACTCTTCTTCCCCTTCTTCCATTTTCAAACTCATGAATCCCCCTTTTGCACAATTCTTTTCTTATCCTCAGTACACGTGGTCTCAGGCTCCAACCAAATATCCTTCCAAGACCAAGGCAGCCATAGCTGATATTGAGGTTACTTTGATAGAGACACATGCAAACCTTAGAATTCTGTCACGGAGAAGCCCCACGCTGTTGTCAAAGCTGGTCTCTGGTTTTCAATCACTCTACCTCACCATCCTTCATCTTAATGTCACCACCATCGACCCTTTGGTGCTTTATTCTATCAGTGCTAAGGTATGTAAACTTTCCATAATCATAGAACTTCAAAACCTTCATGTAATGTGTTAATTAGTTTACCAAAATTGACTTAGCCAAGGTTAATTGAACTTATGGCAGTATGCTTCATCATTCTTCTACTGACTAGAAGGGAGGGAATCATCTGGTGTTTTAATTATTGCTGAGTTCTAGTTGCCATAACCAGATAGTGGAAGGGACAAATGGGCATGATTATATCTACATATAGGTGTGTATGAAAAATGGAGGAAATTGTGTGGCTGAGATGAGGAGGGGTTTTTGTATGTGTAGGTTGAAGAAGGATGCCACCTGGGTTCGGCGGAGGATATAGCGACAGCAGTTCATCACTTGCTCAGAAGAATTGAGGAAGAAGCTTCCCGTTGCGGTTGATGATGAATTGTGATACATACTTTGGTGACGTGACCAAACTAACCCCTTCCTCTTAGAAAGGAGGGTTTGTGTGGGTGAATCTTTCAGTTCTTTTTTTCTTTATTTATTTCTTTATTTCTTGATGTGTGCATGTAGAGATGATGTGTCAAATGCTGATGAAAAGGTGTGCAGTGGATGGCTTTTTTTGTAATTTTGACTCCTTAGAACTCAGATATAATGTAAGGTTAGGACTTAACAGGAGAGTAGAGTGCATATGGAATCTTGTTTGGAGTTGAGCTAAGGTGAGCTGTCTCATCCCATTCCCTGGCCCAATATGGAGATAATACTGCGTATGCGTACCTTCGTCTTGCTCTTATTCTATAAGATAAAATAAAAAATTAGAATTGTCTTATTTTGTTTAATAAAAGAGATTTTTAACTGAAAAATAGAATGTGAAAATGAATTATCTATCCTCCAAAAAAAAAAAAGAGGAAGAAGGAAAAAAAACAAAAGAAGAGCTGTGCCCCGTGATGCTGATTTTGGCCATCAGAAGTCAGAAACTTCTGCTTCGAAGTTTGAAACAGTCACGGACTTGTGAGTTGATACACTCGGGAAAGACCTCCCTTTTATAATACAGATTCGTCTCTCACACACACAAACAAATGCTGCCTAGAAAGAGACTCGACACTTCCTCCAGCAAAAGGCCCCTCTCATATCATCTCAACACAACATGTCACCAAATGTTGCCCAGAGAAAAAACCACTATGATATGACTATTTGTAGGGATTTTAGTGATAGATGATAAGAGTTGATAACAGAAAAAAGCTATCTTACTGTAAATTCTTCAAAACTGAACTTTAGCGCCCAAAAGAAAAACTCAAGCGCAAAACAGTGCTGGCCCATAATGGTTGTAGCAACAAAAGAAAAGATTTGTCCTTTTCTGGGAATGGAGCGGGCAGGATTTGTCTAGCAAGATATGGTTCCTGGCCCGAAATTCTAAGTGATGAAAATATAGAGGCTCACAGACATTAACACATGTTTGGATCTCTATATATCTGAGGCTGCATTCCATATACATATATATATTATATTTGAGCCATTGATCATCACACATGTTTTCTGGCTTCTTGGTTTGCAATGAATCACAGAAAACGAAACATATGGAAACAGTAACTGAGACTTGATCTTACAGGAACCCTCAAATAATCTATGATGTTTCCTCATTATCAAGGGAATTGCATGCATTTTAAGAAAGGGGAAGAATTAAGCTGCATGGGCGAATGTGATAGTGTGGGTATATTGGAATGTGTGATGTAGCTTTGTAACTTTGGATCAAATAAGAGATTTTCAATATGCAAAATTTCTAAGGTCAGCTTTCAGTTTTGTAAGGTTGTGAGCGTTCGATTGTTATCCTCATTAAAGGGTTTGTGTCATTTAGTGTGAAGCAGAAGAAGAAACAGACATGCACGCCTGATCTCCCATCTGTTGTACTTGATCTTCTCTGTGGGGAAGCCCATTAAGTCTCCCTCCAGTACTGGCTCAAACTTCATTGATTGATTATATTAATTAGTTAGCTAATTATAGTTTCATCATTTGACACTAATCCGTAGAAGAACTTCCTTTTCACTTGCATACTTTCCCCATATATACATATACTGTTAATTTCATCTTCAAGATTCGCTAAATCCAGTTGAACAAGAAGACAAAACTCCTCTGTCTGCAACTAATCAAGGAACAAGATCTTACAATAATATTGACATTCCAATACCCTATTTTATAAGTCAATATTGGATATGGAAGCTTATCCTTAATTTTACGCCGAAGACAAGTTCCAGTTTCTGGAGTGTGTCAAATTTTAAGATTTTAGGCCAGGATTTCCTCTGGGTTCATCATCTGTAAGTAACTACAGTGCATTCAACAACTTTTGCCCTACTTTTCGTTGATGCTCGTGAAAGAAACCCATCAAAATTTTAATTCGCAGAAGAGGATTGAACCTTTGAATCCAAATACTTGTTCTCTTCTTTGAATTAATGAAACATAAACCCAAACTTGCAAATCTGGGGATTTTAAGAGCAAAAATGAAAGATATATAGTTTGGGTGTAAGTTGTGAGGCATTTAAATTTCCACGTTAGCGATATTGTATATTACTCTGCCTAATAAGCTTGTGTGAAGCTATTAGTTCACCAGTGATGGACATATTTGGATGATAATCTCATAAATAAAAATGAGTTAGCCTAACTTGGCGTTGATGCATTAATATTGGAGTTATCAAACAAAACAAGAGCTGAAAACAAATTAAGGGGTGAGTTGACTTGACATATTTGGATGATAATCCGTCCGTTTATAAACTAAAGGGATAAACCTTATCGTCCCAGAGATCCTTTTTGTTAGATTAGAATCACACAAGAAAACTATAACAGTAGCCATTCGTTGCATTCATATATATTAATACATGTGGCATTTAATGCAAGCTCCTTTCAGTTCGATTGTACAGTAACTATCTTTGTTTCTTTCCTTTGGTTCATACGTGCCCGTCTCTAACTGATTAAACTCCATTTTTCTTCCCACGTGACATTTACCTCACTGCTTCAATTAACTGATTTGACGAACTGTAAAAACTCCTGTAACTTTAAAGGACGAGGTTGGCTATGAAAGCTTTGAGAGGTCAAATATATAATGGCGTAGACCTAGAAGGAAGCAAGGACGCAGTACGTAATATTGAAGCATACATAATGTCTTCCCTGCATCTAAAGGAATTTGAGTCTGAAACAACAGAACCGTTCATTATTACCAAAAATTATTGAGCTCAGCCTGCCACGCTGCAAAAATTCGTCGGCTCCTTATAATAATTGCTCGCTGACGAAACTTGGGCCCCACTCCCAAAAACGTGTTTTTGAAAAAAGTTGTTGGGCTTCTAGGCTTGTTTATAAGACCCAGATTTAGTTGTCTTTCTTATATTAGACTCAAATTTGATTCCATGCATATGGAACCACAGGAGCGTTGTCCGTGGTGAATGGATGAGGCCAGAATCTTCAGCTTCAACATGGCTTACAAGTGTAACCCAAAAAGAAAAAAAAAAAGGCTTACAAGTGACCAAAAAGAATTGGGTATATCAAAAGAGACTAGCTCTTTATCACACGAGGGACCAAGATTTGAATTCTCATTAGAAGAAGTACCCAATAGTACCTTGAACCTCCAATAAAAATATGCATATGCTTAGCAAAGGAAAAAAAAAAAAGGCTTACAAGTGTGCTAATAAGAATTAGTCTAATTAGAAAGGAATAAACTTATAATCCATAAGATCGTAAGTTCAAATCTCACTACTAATATGAGGACCTTGTTAGTGAGTGATATGTAAGTAGCTCTATGAGTGCTTTTTAAGTCTGAAAGCATATTCTGACCTTAATGAGCTTTCATCATCCAACTCACCTGAATTTTTTTCTACTAAAAAAAATGGCTTGAGAGAAAGAGAGAGAGGGTGTGTGTGTGTTGAAAGAGGAATCTGAATATTGAGGGTCTGATTCCTGGTCAATAATTTTGAGGAGACACAGTCATTAAGGGCACAACGTCCCTGTTGAGAGAGGGCTAAGGAGAAAGGTGTGTGTGTGTTTTGAAAGAGGAATCTGAATATTGAGGGTCTGATTCCTGGTCAATAATTTTGAGGAGACACAGTCATTAAGGGCACACCGTCCCTGTTGAGAGAGGGCTAAGGAGAAAGGGACTATCTTGCAAGGGCGTCGCCAATCCATGGCATACCCCATTTTCACGTCACACTTCTATCACTCCCACCCATTTCTTACCCTCTTCAGTTTCATATATCTCATTATCCAAATTCATATTTTAGGTCTTAAAAGCGTTATTTTTTTTATAATCTTATCATTCTAAAATTGTTTCCTTTGTGAATCTAAAATACCAAGAATATAAGGAGTTACATTATTCATTATTTATAAACAATAAAATTCATTTCGAGCTCCGTTCAAGTACATGGATTTATAGCTTTAAAAGCTCCCCCCTATCAAAGACAATCTTTTGAATTGATAAAATCACCATGGATATAAAACTCTTTGGATGTGATATATTAATAAACTTATTTAGCCATGAATTAGTGATTATAATGTTATCTAAGTGTTCCTTTTCAATTAATTGCACCTATCTGTAATATAAAATTTATATTAAGTTATACAGTTCAATTCATGTTATAAATAGTATGGTTCTTTAATTCTATGCAAAACAGGGCCTACAGTCTAGTTTTGTTTAATGAATCAAAATTTGTACTCATTCCAATCCACAATAAAGAGCAATGTCAACTACTTTGTGGTTTTAAATAATTGTTACTCCTCTGATTTTATTTATAGGACAGAGAGATAAGGTATTTTTTGATCCTATTTATAGGACACTAAGAAAAAAATTTTATATGGATGTACAATTTTACCCCTCATTTATTATTGTGTTGACTTTGTTTGTTTATATTAGGTATAATGTATATTAAATAGAGATAAAGTTGAAAAGTCATTAAATTTTAAATGAGAGTTAATAAAGTTTAAGGTTTTTTTTTGTTTGTGTGAAACATGCTGAAAGTGCCTCATAAATAGGACTAGAGAAGTAGTATAATCTTGAGTAAAATAAATGTCTACATTTAAGTAGTTGGCTCCTTTGAAACACTCATCCTTGGTTACATGAAGAAATAATAAATGAAATAAAAGGAGTATGACTGAAGTGTGTGTACATTGCCCTATATTTTGAACTGAGTAGAGTTTCTAATAACCGCCCTATATTACGGACGGGAAGGAATATGGTTTAACAAGGTAAAGATAATTCATAATAAATCTTTAATTACTTATAACACCAGTGATTTGCATTGATTAAAGACATAAAATTTAGGTTGCTTTTCCATTTCGGACAATAAATTCAAGTCAGTCTTAGCCTGTTAGGGAGTGTAGAGCGTGTTCTTTTGCAAACTTAAATTTCTCAATTTCACACTTTCTTATTTTGTTTAGGTTGCCTTTCAATTTTGTTGGACAAATGCACTTCAATCTGCTCTTTTCGATCCTGGAATTGAGAAAAGTGTTTATGTATCAAATCCAGATTGTAAATTTCTCAAATTGAATACTTCCGTTCTAGCCAGGCCTACTTTAATCTCTAGGTTTTTATCTCATAACATTTTATTTTTGGAAATCAAATGACAACGAAGGTAAACTCAATGAAACACAGACGATATAAAATTATTTTTTTCAATCTCTCTCTCTTTTTTTTTTATAACATTTTCAATCTCTTTTTTAATCTAAAGAAGACATGTAATTTATGTTAGGATTATGGTTTTGATGATAACAAAGTTAGATTAATTGGATTAAATATGTTGATCGATCATCTGATCGATCAAATGATTATCGATAAGCTATCAGATAATTGTTCAGTATAAATCAGTTTTATATTAAGTATTTTAATCGAAGAGCTATTCGATAAGTTGTTGATCGATAAAATGATCGATTATCGATAACATGCAAGTTACATAAGGTTACAGTTAATTATCGATCACTTGATCGATGACATCAGATAAACGAACAGGTAACAGATAAAGAGAACCAAATCTGAAGTGCATTTATCGATCACATGATCGATAAATCAGTTATCAATAACGACTTCGATAAGAGGTAACACACTCTACTCCGTCTGCACATTAATTCTGTCATCATTTATCCATCATACTATCGATCACTTGTTTATCGATCATATGATCGAACATTATGTTCTAACTCTCTGGATGCAGGTACTCATCATAGCTGCTGAATTGATAACCTTATCGATTACTAAATTATCGATCACATGATCGATAATCAATGTTCTATCTGCTCATACTTAGTTTTTCTACAACCAAATTATCGATAACATTATCGATAATTTAACCTGTCTGCATAGTATCTTTCACATAACATGATCGATAAAGAGCCTCAGGATTATTATCTTCACTGCATTAACTTATGTGGAATCATTTTTTCGATCACCTAATCGATCATTGATTTATTGATAAAATGATCGATCATCCGATTTCCTGAAACTCCTGTTTTCACATAATGTGATCGATAATCAATTTCTTTACCTTACAGGATTAAATCTCTGTTTTTCGTTTTATCGATCACTTGATCGAATATTCATTGATCGATCACCTGTTCGATTAATCCACATAGTCTGTGTTTTTCGTTGAATATATTCTTACTCATTGTTTATCAATAACCTTATCCATCATCCATTTATCGATAATCTGTTCGATCATCAATGATTGAAGTTTCATTTCTGTAACACTTGGATTATCGATAATCTGTTCGATTATCAATGACTGAAGTTTCATTTCTGTAACACTTGGATTATCGATAATCTGTTCGATCACTTGTTCGATCATGGAACGTTTTCCGTTTAAACATCAGTCGACTATGATGATTCTTAAAATCAATGATCTATTTTCTTTCAAGCTTTTCTCAGCCTTCTTTTAACATATAACTCTTTATCGAAAAGACACGAAGGCAAACGAAACTTGAAAGGGATTAACCTTGCATATTTCATTCGGAGTTCACTGTGTTCATGTTTCATCATTTATCGATTATTTCTTCGATCATCACATGATCCATAACCTATTCGATAATTGCATATATTTGCTATATCTTTTCTTCATATAATTAATCGATAATATGATCGATCAAAGGATTATCGATCAAGGCATCGATTAAGTAAGTTTATCTTACTTTCTGAATATCTGAAGATTTGATGATTGATTCCATGTTTTCCAACTTATTGTTTCAAAATTATCATATACTTATCACTTGATTTGAGGAAGATTATTTCAGGTAAAGAGCCACAACGAATTTATGATGTGAAGAATCGACTTTTGTCAGAAGCTTCCAATGGCTAGTTTCAACGGTCATATTCTTCAAGCCAAACGGGAAGAAAGTGCTCAACGGTCAAGTACCCAATATCATCTATAAATAGAAGAGCATTCAAAACAAGAAAAAGAAGAAGAGTCCGAGCTTACAACATCAAATGCTAAAATGCCGAATCAATATATTCTCATTTAGAGCTCCGAGAAAAAACTCTCTGTCTCTGTATTTCATACTCTAAAACTTATGTATTCGTAAGATAGAGAGGAGAGTTTCCAAAACGTGCTTAAGATTCATCTATCACTTTTTTGAGAGAAGAAATATTCAATCTTCCTTATCATTATTAGATTGTATCCCTACGGTGTGTAAGGGGGAGTTTTTACCTCAGTGTGAGGTTGCTGCTGAATAGACTGGTTAGTCTAAAAAAATTGTAAGTGGCGTCACAAGTGCCCAGATCAAACTTGTGGTTGTAGTGGTTCTCAAGTACCTGTGTTAAACTTGAGGGAGATAGTGGATTGAAAATCTCAATGGGAGCCTGGGGACTGGACGTAGGTCGGTGAGGACCGAACCAGGATAAATCATAGTTTGCATCTTCTCTTTTCTTACCTCTTTATATTTCCAGCTAAACCATTTTACTAATGTGATTATGCTTATCTCGATTCATTGTATTTTATACTCAGAGTTTCTTATGAATTTCATTACATTGCGAAAAGATTTTTAATTTTAATCAACACCCAATAACACCAATTCATGTTCATGTGCTCGTTTTACAGTCAATTATACTTTTGAAAAATTGAACGGTGAAGGGGTATCTAATAATTGGACGTCAGAGGTGAATGGCCTCATAATTGGATGTCAGAGAGATGCAGAGAAATCAAAAAGGCTATAAACTTATGATCATCTTTAAGCCATGTGCAGATGAAAGTATGGTTCAGAGAAAGAAACGATTAGAGATGTATCTGAAACGAGGCCTTGTAGGCCTTGTAATCTTCATCCGCACAAGGCGGAGACGGAGAGACATTTATTGTGATGTTGACCAAAACGTAAACTCTTTCATTAGGGGAAAAATATGTCCATCCGACGATGATGGTAAACACAAACACAGGTTTTTCCACATATTTCTGCTCTCACACTCACTAATTAGTATGCCAATTACTCTCCACACATATTGTCATCTTAACATCATACCATCAGAGTTTTTGTTTTTTGGGAAAAACAGGGGAAGTCTCAGACAGGGATAATCCCTTGCCTTCCTCCATTTCTGCGAAACGAGAATCTTCCACTGGAAAATGATCTCTTCATTGTGATTGGACTCAACACACAATGCAGAAGCACCCTTCTTCTGCTACTAGACTTGCTACTTTCTCCTTGTGATCTCTTTGAAGGGCCCGCTTCGTTTGATCCTACTCCACCAATTTGTAGCGAATGATGATCCATGGACACTGACCTTCTTATGGCTTCATCGTCTTCATCCCCTTCGTCTCTGATCATCTCAATCATTCTATGCCTTCCTCGCAGAAAACCCAGATCGCTAAAAGCACGCAACGCTGGCTTCGGACCTTCTTCCCCATCCCCAACTGTTTCTTCGTTTCTTCTTCCAACCCCTCCATTTTCCTCATTCACATTCTGAATTTCCCGTGAAGAAGATCCATTTCCTGAGGAAGATTCCTCTGTCACAGGTGGAACCACTTGAGGGGTCGAAGCATTGAAGGTGAAGATAAGAGCACGACAGAGAGGACAATTAGAGTGAGATTTGAGCCATTGATCGATACACGGAAGGTGAAAAGCGTGGCTGCATTTAGGCAACAGTCTGATATGCTCATCTTCTCGAAACTCACTGAGACAAACAGAGCAGTCTGTGACACCAACCAACCCATCTCCTTTTTTGTACTTACACACTGTGATTGACTTTATCAGAGCTTCATCTAACCCACTGGTTTGGACATGCCAGGGCTCGTGCAGCGAAGGGTTGTGATTATCTTCAATCTCATCATTCTGGGGAAGATTCTCTCCGTCTGAAGATCTTCCTCTGTTCCCACAGTACTTGGACATGAACGTGTAATAACTTACCAGAAGGAAAGCACTGGCCAATATCCCAATTATGGCTATAACGAGAGGAGAGAAATTTGGGGATGAATCGTCATCTTGAGGGAAATCGAGGGCAGGTGGAGGAGGAGGAGGAAGCACTATATAACACCACTGTGGACAGTAAACACTGCAAAAACCTTGAGAGCAATCTCTGATGTTCACGTAGGGAATCCAAGTTTTTGGGTTGCCAAGCGCAGCCATGGAAAAATATTACAACTTGGGGTTCTAATCATGGAGTTTCCATCTTCCTGCTAAGCAAACATGGACAAAATTGATCTTATAGCCCAATGATTAGAATGAGTGAGTGAGAGAGAGAGAGAGAGAGAGAGAGAGATGGGAGAAGATGAGTTTCTGGGAAAGGAAAAGATGGCGTGGAAAAGAAGGGAAAGACGAGGAAAATGGGAGGACCAATTGGCATGCTTTTGCTTTTCTTTTGTTGTGCAGGGCTTTCTCTTTTCTTTGTTACAACAGTATAATGGCCTCTTGACTAAACAGTGATCATGTTTGTTGGGAATTTATTGAAGTAATCAATACTTTTTCTATTTAATTTTTCTTTCTTGTCCTCCTTGATTTCAACAAAGTGCAACATAGTGCTTTTTTTTTTTTTTACGATTTGAACGAAAGGGATTTAGTTCTTTTCTATTCATTTACTTCTTCTCTTTTTATTTTGAAAACATTTGGTTAACTTGTAGTAACTTGGAGATTCAAATGCTACGGTTTTTCTGAAAAATCAAAATAATCATGATTCAAAACTCACTGTAATTCCATGCAGGGCTATTAATGTGTGGAGCCACTTGAGCCGTCAAGTTTGTTGCACCAGGCACAGCTAATGTAGTTAGGACTTCTAATTATTTATGAACGAATTTATGAACATATCCTGTCCCAATTTATTTCCAGAACACGATAAACTAAACATTTCATAAATGAATATGGAAAAAGACAATATTCGACATTTTTTTAAAAAAAATTGAGTTTATCTATTTATTAATTGATAATATCGAACATGCCTATACTATGCTAGTGTGTTTGACAACCATTTCTGAGATACAAGGAAGAATCATATAATATCGTTTGATCCATTAGGCTGGTTAAACCACAGTCATAATCTCAAATATATCGCTTAACACAAGTCTTTTGTTCTGATTTTGAAGTCAACTATCAAACAAGTGACACGTGGCGGGGTGAATATATATATTCAAGAGTAAACGGATAAATATATTCTGCAAAGAAAAACCAAAGAAAGAATAGTTAGGAAGGGATCTTAAGGTTGAGAGTACTTAAATTATTTGCAATTCAACAAAGATATGATGCTCTCTTAATTTGTCTCTTCTCTCTGTGCATCATATCCTCTTTTCTGTGGACCTTAATTAAGTAAACGACCACCCTATTCTACTTTGCATATATTCTTCATTTCCTGGAATCTAAGTATCTACCTACAACCTGGGGTTAACTTGTTGCTAAGTGCACAGAAACTTGCATTTTCTTTTATTAAATTAACTGATATTCCAGCACAATAGAAAACCCTAGTCTTCTAAATTAAAAGCCTAAACTTGCACGTCATCCACAACTTCAATCACAAGACAGCTGAATTTTATAATGCTAATACTCATCTACACAGTAATCATGAGCATTGACTCTTGAGGGAATAAAGCCACAGCTAAATAAGAGTGGTTTTTAAATTTAAAGTAGTTTACAGTCAATTCAAGAGTCTTCTTTTAGTCTTCATTAATTCTCGCTTTCTCCCACCAAATTACATGTATTATGAGTTTGACAAAGATATTAATTTTGTATTTATGACCAAAAACTATGCACTGGCACTACTTGCAGAAGTTGTGATCCAAATTGTTTGAGATATATCAGTGAAGAAGCACTGTTAGCTGATTAGGGATTCATGACTGTAATGGCTGTAATGTCGACCGAAGCTGATAATATCACCTTTATTATTATCAACAGCTTATTGTCTTTCTCTTCCTTTGATGCACTTCATCTTTCCATGCTCTGCCGACAACTTGTCACACTTTAAGTGGTGGCTTATGTGGACTGTTTTGTACGGGTACATGAAGAAGCATATATTCCAAATCTGCTTCAAAAAAAGTGTATATTTTCGTATGATAAAAGAAAATTCATATCTGTCAAATTTATGGGTTTGACAGGTCTTCTGGGAACCACTGACATAATGAGAAAACTGAGCTCATCCAAGTTTCTTGTGAGTTGTTAATCCTCTCAGTACTGACTAAAAATTATTAATTATTATTTTATTTCAAGGTTTGGCGTGTGTGCGCGCAACCACATTTATAGTTTTACAGAATTCAAAGTTGGGTAAATTAGCTGGTCAGAAAAAACTTGGTAAATATCAGTCTTATAATCGATTCCGCACTAGTTATATAGCAAACATAATCACAAGGAACATATCTTCCCAAAAGTACAAGATCTAGGTTTCCTGGACATTGGTTATAATAAATCGTCTCACTATACATGGATTCCAGCTCTAGAAACTGATGAGTCTGGTGAAAGATGATGAGAATGGATGTAGAATTAAATTATCGTAATCGTGTGTACAAGTGTTTGGTTTTGAGGTCAAAATCCAGCTCCCACATCGCAGTCCACGGAGCATGGTCAAAGTCTCAGATAATTGAGAAGGAAAAAAAAAAGAAAAGAAACCTATGATTCTGCCGGTTCACCATCAGAACCTTGCTCTTCTACTTTCTCTGGTTCTGCCGCTTGATCATCAGAACCTTGGTCCTCCCCTTTCTCATCCCCAGATTCTTTGACAGTCCTTTCACTGAATTTTAGGCGAAGTGGTCGCCCCATTAATTCCTGCAAGGCATAGCTCAAGGGTAAGTCATTTTCATTCAACATGAGAACTGAGCCAAGCCTAAGAAGAAGTCAAATCTGTCTAAAATGACATCAAGAGAAATTACAAGGATAGTGGCCAGCTACAAGATGATAATTACCTTCCCATCTAGAGTAGAAATGGCAGCCTCTGCTTCATCTCTTGTAGAAAAAGAAACAAATCCATACCCAGCAGATCTTCCATTAGGGCTGTCAAAGACAACCCTGGCTGAAACCGGTGACTTGAAATTCTCTGCAAAGAATGCTCTGAGATGGCTAGATCTTGCTTTCCAGGCAAGATTCGACGCATAAATTTTATGGCTTGTTTCGCCGGCAGGGGGACTTTTAGGAGGCCGTGGAGGAGGAGGTTTCTTGAATCTCTTTGCAAGCTCTACCCTTATTATCCTGCCAGACAATTCCTATATTGCAGGGTTCTGAGTCAAGAGAATTGTTGCCAGACAGATTTTAGAGCAGATATTCAAATTAATTTTTTTGGTCATTCAGTTTTGGCACTGTTTGGTATATGCCAAAGCATTACACAGAGAACTTTTAGGATAGAAACGACTTGAACAATTTAGGATGTCCATATCACAAAATGGTGAGCCGAAAAACTGGACTTCCATTGATACTGTAAGTACAATAGATGTGTACAGTTAAAGTCACTTAGCTATATCAAACAGATACAACTAAAGCTTAGAACTTGACTAAGTATACAAATCAACTATAGAAGTATGGGTAGAAAGAGTTCTATTATTCCTCTATATAGTCCAAAATACTTCGCATGGGGAAAAACGTGGGTTAAAATTGTTCTAAGAAATGCAAGTGAAACTGACCTTACTACATGGACCCCATAAACAACAGAACTTCATCGTTTCATTAGGAAAACAAGCCACCTTATTTTGTAAACTGCTAGTGTTACTAAAAACTAGATCTTATATTAAGAATCAAAGGTAGTATCTTGTTTTTACGCTAAAAGTGTGACTGCTTCAACTGAAACGAATTGAAGAAGGCAGTGTACAAATTCCGGCTCATTGATAATGTTTTGCAAAAGTCAAAACCAGTAAAAGACAAGTTTTTGCATACCAATTTCAACTGAAACTTGATTCTTAAGTACCAGATCATGCAAACGCAAAGACAAAGGATCACAACAATGAGGACAATATTCTCAAGTAAAACGCTCCGCAAACTGAAGAGGAAATTTAGTCAAGCTGGGAACGCCTAGGCTCATTGTGGAGCACAAGTGATTAAAATTCAGAGCTTGAAGAAAGCAAAACGTGATGTGATTCTGCCGTTTCCTAATTCCTAGGAGACGAGATTTGGCTTTCTTCATTGCTGACTATAGGCCTCTAGACATATAATTCCACGATGATGAATTATGAATAGAGCAATCCAGTTACTGATCTCTGACTGAATTGCCAGTGATAAATGCGATTAGCAATAGGCATTTCATGTCCTGATCATCATATCTCCCGGGGTTCTAGCATACTCGTATAGAATAACCCACAGAACTAGCAAATTATTTCTACTTTTTCAAAGAAAGGATCATTCAATGGTAATGCAAGGAACTCATCATCTAGACCCCAGTTCCCGAAGACCCGATTCTGCAAACGCTAGTCTGAGACTGTATCGATACACAGTACCAACTTTGAGAAAATGAAAACAAATATATGTAACAACATGTTATATCAGACCCAGAATGAAAAGTGCTTTCGACATATCAGTGCTATGTATAAAGAATAAAATTCTCAGACCAAACCGAAGAATCGCACTGAAATAAAACCACATAGAAGCAACTCACATGAGAGTCAAGTTTATCAATTGCAGTCTGCGACTCTTCCCCGGAAGCCATAGTGACGAAGGCAAATCCTCTGCTCTTGCCATCTTTGTTTTTTATTATCTACTTCAATTAAAAAGCAAAACTTCAACCTTCAAAATTAGAGAAATTAGGGGGGACGCAGGATAAGAACCCCAAATAAAGTTGCGAGATGAGAAATTGAAGAACCTCGACATCGGTTACAGTTCCGCATTGACCAAAGAGGTTCTTGATGTCCACCACCGATAGCGACCATGGTAGATTAAACACGTAGAGCTTCTTTTTTATGTTGTTTTCCTGGGTTTGCCCTGGTTTTTCTTCTGTTACCGCCTCTTGCAGCGCAGAGCATAATTCGAAGCAGAGCCTCCTGCTGGAGTCGATAGAAGATAAAATCGAGGGGACGACGCAACTGTGGGAAATGGGATAAAGAGAAGTGGAGACTTTGAGCTTTATCGAATCGAATGATTTGGCGGATAAAGAGTACTTATTAGAACAGCGGAAAGATCCCAAGACTGTGAGTCCAGATTCCAGAGTGGCCATTGATTGACAGTAAGCAGGACGAAGAAAGCGGATAAAGCTGGGGTTGGATATTTTTGAGTGTGTCAATATATATAAAGATTCAATGGCGTCCTCTTTGCCCTGACTAGGCATGCCTCCAAATTGAACTTCTTCCAACTACAGTTTACAAGCTTGAATGAAATTTTAGAATGTAAAGATAAAATTTTGATAAATATATTCGATCGCAATAATCATTAATGTACTGTATATATAAAAACAAAATTAAAACATTAAAAAGAGAAGAGAAGGTGGACAGCCAGGTTGAAATAGTTAGTGAGGCAAAAAAGAAAATTGAAATAGTTATGGCCAGCTGGTATTCTATTTTTTCAAAAAACTTAAATTCATTAATTCTTTCCAATATAAAATAGATGATTTTTTTTTTTTTGGCTTTGTTTGCCGACAGGATATAAAAATGCCTTGCCAATCTCTTACATTCTTTATGTTGATGACTCTCTTTTCGTCTACGAGTGTACAATCAAGAACTTGGTTGCTATCAAGATGGTACTCAATATGCATGCCTTGTGGTCAAGACAGGATTGTAATAAATATTTTCTTATTTTCAATCGTAATGTCACTCATGCTACCAAGCTGAATTATTCTAAGTTGTTGGGGTATCATTTTGAATTCTGTTAGAAGTAAAGCTATTATTTATGATCAAGTTCTCACTTTGATTGAGCATCGGTGCTTGGCAAACTAAGCTTCTCTCACAAGCTTCTCGGCTCACTTTGATTAAATCAGTCTTAGCAGTAGTGAATATTCATGTTCTTTCATGCGTAAGCCTTCCTTAATATGTTTAGAACCGTATTGACTCCTACTGTATTGACTTTTTCTGGAGATTTAATGGTGACAAGAGCAAAACTCACTTGATAAATAGGAATATTCTCTTCCAACCTAGAGAGAAATAGGGCTTGGGGCTTAGATCTACGGAGGTCATGAATCAGGTTTTACTAGCTAAACAAATATGGAGGATTTTGACTGCTTAATCTGACTCTCTTTCGGGTGGCACTTTAAAGATTAAATATATTGATCTGCACTCTCATTTGGTCATTAGATTGCCTCATAACTCCTCTTGGATTTGGAAAAGCATTGCTGAAAATGCTCATATATGATTTTAGACAATCTAGCTTGGAAGGTAGGAAATGGTGCCTTGATCCTCTTTAACTACCGATATTGGTGGCCGATGCAGTGTGATCAACCTCCGATGAGTCTCATATGCCCGGTGGCTGATTTGTTAATGCATGTTTCTTCTTCTTGGAATTATTTGCGTTGGAATAATGCTTTAATCTCATCACTCTATTCACATCATATAGCAGATAAAATTATTAAAATTCCTATCTCCATGTTTCATTTGCCTGATAGCCTTTCTTGGACTGGTAATGTCTCTGGTCTCTACATAGTTAGGAAGTAGGTTGTTAGCCTCCAATCACCCTTTTAATAATTTGAGAGATGAAGCTTTTTGGAGAGTCATATGGAAAGCCTTTTTACCTTTTAAATACATTCTTTACTTCTAGAAACTGCTGCATAATGCATTTCTTTCTGGTGATATTCTTACCAAGTGTCATCTGCCTGTCAATATTTTTTGCTTGTTTGGATGTGACAAGTTTGAATCTCTTAAACATATATATATTTTTTCATTTTCCACATAGTAGATCCTTATGGTTTGGATGTTTTTCTTTAAGAATACCTGATTTGGACTTTGATGGATTGAAGATTTAGATTAAGGATATTCTTCTGCAGTTGTATCATAATGAACATCCCAATTTGTTCTGTGGGATTTTGTGTTTATTGGGAACTATTTGGCGCAAACAAAATCAAGCTATGCAACATGGAAAGGATGATGATCCTCATATGGTGAAAAGAGATATCAATGGCTCGCTTGCCCTCTCTCATATGGCTTTCGAAAAGCCAGCATGCACTATTTTTTGATGTGGCAATCTTATGATAATTTCAGAAGATGATTTGAGAAATCTTGCAGATTGGAGCATTATCATCCGTAAGTTCAAGCATCTACGAAGGGATTTTTGTCAATATGTTATTTGTTGGCAAAAGGCTGCTTTAACAGAATTTGTATGGAAAATACTACTGAGCCTGATTTGCCATTTCTATCTGGGTGCCTGAGAGCTTCTTTGCTATGGATTCGTAATTCTGATATAAGCAAGCAGGAAGAGCATCATGATTTAAATATTATGTAGGTTGATAAAATTTCTTTTACTATGAAGGCAGCTTATCATCGCCAATCTTCAACAATCACCTGGCAGGAAATTTTAGCTCTTCTTCATGATTTTCATGTTCTAACATTTAAATTAATTCCTTTTAATTTTTTTCTACTTGTTTTAGCACTTTATCAACATTGTTTCTTTTTAATATATCATTTTTCCTTTTCTTAAAAAAAAAAGGAAATAATAGATAAACTTTGCGCAATTCATACTTCATCTTGCCATTCTTACCGAGTGACTAGTTTCAAGGAACAAAATGGATAATTTTTTAAGGTGACAAACAAAATATATAGATTTTACATACCACCAACACCCAAATGGAAAGTGCGTGAGTATGAACTTTGCATTTAATATCATCTCCTCCTCTTTCAAGTCTTAATATAATAATTAAATATCTGGTCAAAAAAATATAATAATTAAATAATTAATTTAAAAATATTAGAAGAATTAGTTAAATTGATTATTTATAATAATTAATAAAAAAATTAAAAAAAATTAAAAATAAAATATATCAAAGTCTTATATTTAAAATAAAATTCAACTTCCAACCTTTATATTAAATACTAGTATTTATAAACAAACAACTTTTTGCCCTTTTAATTGCTCCACATGTCTGAGTCAGAGAGGAGGTATGTGAAAACAAGTCAAACTTGCTTCTGCAAAAGCATCAGAACCCATCAATGCATTCTTCTGATTTTTGTCCATGGCTAGCTGATCCAACTCATCAGATCTCCATATCATCTTTCCCTCCTCTCTCTTCCCGCGCAGCATAGTCCTTTCAAGGTTGGTTTTTCCAAAAAGTCAAGCTCAATGTGGATGTGCCCCAAGAATCAAAACCCTCATGTATATTAAAATGATCTCTACTTGGTAATGACCCAGAAAATTGCTTTAATCAGTAGCTATCAGTAGGGATCCAAGGAAAGGAACAAATATTTGTGGGGCACCCTTGTCTTGGATACAACAAAACAAAATACCATCTTTGTATTTGAAGAAAGCAACCAAACACGCTATCAAGCTCGCCCTCTGATCCCCTGAAGATGGCACTGAGCAACCATGCCAACGGATCCATCAACTTCGTTGCCGTACTCCTCGCAATCCCGATAATCGGCGCCGGAATCTGGTTACCGAACGAGCCTGCAAATGCCTGCGTGAAGACTCTACAATGGCCGGTCATTCTACTTGGTTTCTGATACTGCAGGTGGCTCTAGCTGGCTTCATTGGGGGATTCTGGAGAATCCTATGGCTCCTTATTGTCTACATGGTGGCCATGCTCTTGCTCATTATACTTCTGGTGTGCTTGGCGGTGTTCATCTACATGGTCACGATCAGAGGCCACGGCGACATTGAACCCAACCGAGCTTACTTGGAATACCATCTCGACAGCTTCTCCGCCTGGCTCTGCCGCCGTGTCAGGAGTTCCTATGAATGGGACGGCATCAGAAGCTGCCTTAGCGCCTCCTATATGTGTAATGAGTTGAACCAGAGTTACCGCATGGCTCAGGACTTCTTCAAACTCACACCTAACACCCATGCAGGTACCTCCAATATGTGTAATGAGTTGAGCCTGGTTTGCCATTTCTATCTGGGTGGCTAAGAGCTTCTTTACTATGGATTCATAATTCTGATATAAGCAGGCAAGAAGAGCATCCTGATTTAAATATTATATGTGTTGATTAAAAAAAAAAAATTTATTATGAAGGCAGCTTATTATTGTCAATCTTCAACAATCATCTAAAAGATTTTAGTTCTTTTTCATGATTTTCATGTTCTACCATTTAAATTAATTCCTTTTAATTTTTTCCTAATGTTTTAGGAGATATTTTTTTTACTTGTTTTAGCACTCTGTAAACCTTGTTTCTTTTTAATATATCATTTTTGCTTTTCTTCCCAAAAAAAAAAACAAAAAGGAAATAATAGATGAACTTTGCCCAATTCATGCTTCATCTTGCCATTCTTACCACGTGATTAGTTTCAAGGAACAAAATAGATAATTTTTTTGGGTGACAAACAAAATATATAGATTTTAGGAAAATTAATTTTTGGCCTTTAATTTTCAACTTAATCTCTTGATTATAATTTGATATGACTTAGTCTTTAAATTTTTCACTCGCTTATAACTCAATTTCTCCTCTTTTTCAGTTTTTATATCATGATCCTGAGTCATCCTACGTGGAAAAAAAACTAATAATTATTTTCATCTCAACTCTGCCTGTTTTGTTTTAAGAAAATAAAATAAAGTAAACAAAAGGTATTCACAGGCTTGCTGGCGTCTTTTTGGTCTCTGAGGTCACCACAGTTGAGATTCAAACCAATTCCGCAGCTTGGGTGAATTCCGAAGATAACAAGTTGTGACTTTGCTACCTGACAGAGAGAGAGAACTAGAAGAAGCAGGAACAGACAACGAAAACCTCCTCTTAACCCCTTCTCATGATAGTTGATAGTTGATACTGGCGTTTTTTGGGAAAAAAATAACTATGGTGACCCAAGATGTACACATATCAAATACAAAACTATGGTACTGGGTTAATCTTTTCGAAGCTGTACACTAAAAGCTAAAAGTGCAGGTGTTATGCCAATTAAAAAAAAGCTTCGCAAATACCTTCACACGGTCACGAAGGCGGGCTCACCAAGCTGCGGAAGTAAAAGATATTTGCAGAAGTGAGGGAGAAATGGAGGAGGAGAGATGTGAGCTTCAAAGTGAGAATGGACGTTAGTGTTAGATTTGAAGCTAGGAATTGGTTTGAATCTCAACTAACCTCAGAGATCACAAAAACGCCAGCAAGCCTGTGAATACCGGTGGGAAGGATGATCATCGAGTTACATAGCTTGTTCCTTTGTTTACTTTATTTTATTTTATTTTATTTGGCTTCGGCTATTAGTGTTTGTAACTGATTTTTTTTTGTGATTAATAAAATGGACTTGTTTTTTGGCAAAAAAAAAAAAAAACAAAACAGGCGGAGCTGAGATGAAAATAATTATAAAGGTATTATTTTTTTTTTTTTTTTCATATAAGATAACTCAGGATCATAATATAAAAACTAAAAAAGATAAGGAAATAAGTTATAATTAAGTCAAAAGTTCACAGACTGAATAATCATAGTTAAAGAGCTAAGTTAAAAATAAATTAAAAGTTAAAGAACTAAAAAATTAATTTTTCTTAGATTTTACATACCACCAACACCCAAATGGAAAGTACGCAAGTATGAATTTTACATTTAATATCACCTCCTCCTCCGAATCTTAATATAATAGTTAAATAATTAATTTAAACATATTAAAAAAAATTAGTTAAGTTGATTATTTATTATAATCAATAAGAATATTTTAAGAAAAGATGAAAAACAAAAACCCATTTGGAATGGTTTATAGGTAACCTTTTAATCGTAATCTTCAGAATACGAAATAAGTATATAAAAAGAATTTTGTCTTGACTTAAATAAAATGTACTTAAGTGTTTTTAACTATCAATCCAAACATGTCCAAAATAAATGGAGCTTTTATATTTAAAATAAAATTTAACTCCTAACTTATTCTTACATTAAATATTGGTATTTATAAATAAACAACTTTTTCCCCCCTTATTTGCTCCGCATGTCTGAGCCAGAGAAAAGGTATGTGAAAACAAGTCAAGCTTGCTTCTGCAAAAGCATCAGAAACCATCAATGCATTCTTCTGATTTTTGTCCATGGCTAGCTGATCCTACTCATCAAATCTCCATATCGTCTTTCCCTCCTCTCGCTTCCCGCGCAGAATTGTCCTTTCAAGGTAGGTTTTTCCAAAAAGTCAAGCTCAATGTGAATGTGCCCCAAAAATCAAAACCCTCATGTATATTAAAATGATCTCTACCTGGTAATGGCCCAAAAAATTTGCTTTAATCAGTAGCTATCAGTAGGAATCCAAGGAAAGGAACAAATATTTGTGGGGCACTCTTGTCTTGGTTACGACAAAACAAAATACCATCTTTGTATTTGAAGAAAGCAATCAAACACTCTTATCAAGCTCGCCCTCTGATCCCCTGAAGATGGCACTGAGCAACCATGCCATCGGAGCCATCAACTTCGTTGCCGTACTCCTCGCAATCCCGATAATCGGCGCCGGAATCTGGCTAATGAACGAGCCTGCAAATGCCTGCGTTAAGACACTACAATGGCCAGTCATTCTACTTGGCGTTCTGATACTGCTGGTGGCTCTAGCTGGCTTCATTGGAGGGTTCTGGAGAATCCAATGGCTCCTCATTGTCTACATGGTGGCCATGCTCGTGCTCATTATACTTCTGGTGTGCTTGGCGGTGTTCATCTACATGGTCACGCTCAGAGGCCACGGCGACATTGAACCCAACCGAGCTTACTTGGAATACCATCTCGACAACTTCTCCGGCTGGCTCCGCCGCCGTGTCAGGAGTTCCTATAAATGGGACGGCATCAGAAGCTGCCTTAGCGCCTCCAATATGTGTAATGAGTTGAACCAGAGTTATCGCATGGCTCAGGACTTCTTCAACGCGCATCTAACGCCCATGCAGGTACTACATGATTTTATCTAATTTCATCATCAGTTTTTACACTGTCTTTTAGGCTTGTTTCTTTTTCACCTGCCCTCGGCCAATCATCCCAGAAAGTAGGATTTCCTTATCAAGATTCTTCAACCTTGAGTTATGAACCTACTTTTTCTTTTTTTTCCTGTCCGCATTCAACTCTTTTGCTTTTGTTTTTCTTTCAGTTAACGCCCGACTGTCCTTAGATTTGGCTCCAAACTATGTTCCTTTCTGTGCAGTCTTAATAAAGATGCAACCTTTATGATATCCTTAGATTTCATTTTGAAAATAAGTGTGTTGGGTTTTTAACTCGATGTTGTTTATGTGTTTTTGAGATGTAGTCTGGATGCTGTAAGCCACCAACACAATGTGGGTACACTTTTGTGAATCCAACCTACTGGATAAGCCCCATTAATACAGCAGCTGATATGGATTGCCTTCAATGGAGCAACGACCAGACCCAAGTGTGCTACAACTGCGACTCGTGCAAAGCTGGGTTACTGGCAAATCTCAGGAAAGAATGGAGGAGGGCTAATGTCGTTTTGATCATCACTGCCATTGTCTTAATCCTAACTTACCTCATAGGTTGTTGTGCCTTCAGGAATGCCAAAACTGATGAGATGTTTAGCAAATACAGGCAAGGCTACACTTGAAATTAGAAATCGGTGAGACCTGAAAGTGAAGCTCATGTACTGGTAGAAAGCTATATAGTTCTCAACAGCTAGAGAGCAGAGTCTGTATTGATTCTCAGTGGGGTTTGTGTTTGAAAAGTGGTCTGTCCATTATTTATGATTTTGTATCTCTTTTTTTGAATCATCTGAAAAGATGTTTGGACCTTTTTATGAATAGCGTTTGAAACTTTGGGGGGTGGGATGGGAGAGGGTCCGCGTGATTTGCGTCATAGAGGCCACCGAAAGTTGATTTCTCGAGTTACTAAATGCTTATATATTGACACTATACTATCACTGTCCAAGCATCACAAGGGCTACTTTCTCACTTTACTGGAGGGTTTTCTGGGTTTTTGTTACAGTTTGATTTGTTTATTATTAATTAATGCCTATTCGTATTCAGAATTTGCCTCGTCAAAGTTGCTGCTGGGGAAAGTGATTTGGATTATATATAATGAAACAACATGGATAATCAATGAGAGGATCCTTTTGATTCCAAAGCTTCCTTTTGATCCATCTTCATGTTTTGAATGTATCATTGCCTTAGCTGGATTGATATTAACAAGAAAATATGGGATGGGAATGCCATGATTGCTCGCAGCACTACAGCAATTCACTGTGGGTACGTAACTTTAGCAGCAAAAACATGATAGGACACGATAGAAATAACAGGGTGGATCCCATGCCCATATTTTGAACATGACCATGGGTTCGGATATGCTCATCTTTACATCAAGATATGTCTATAATAAATCCAACAGTTCATATTTTATTTACTTTTATTCTTAATATTTTAGTTGTTTTTTTCAACCTTAACAAGTACATAATGTAAAATAAACACGATATCTTAATTGCTTTTAAGAAAAGGAACATGAAACCAGTGAATTGTGTAAAATTAGAACTTGATATATACATATATATATGATTACGAAGTTCAAGAGAAAGAGAATTATCATCATTATTTTGCCACCGGTGAATATGTACGATTGTCAATGGCAGACGTACAAGTGTTGTTTTTCTATCATCACGTTATACTTTGATATTTTTCGCCCTTTTTTTTTTCCTGGGGGTATACTTTTCGCCTAGTTTTGCTCTTAGTAATGGAGCCCAATGGGGCCTGACTAAACAAATGGACCCAAAAGAGAAAAGCCCAACAAGAGTCCATCTTAAAGTTAGCCCAAAAAGTAAACTTAGTTAAAAGGCCATGAAGGTACGAGGCACTATTTACATATGGATCATCTACTGATACCAATGGTATTATGGGCTTCTTCCAATAAATTAGACGCTTTGTTTTTGCCCAATTCCATGTCCATGTTGGCCATTACTATCTCATTTTGGCATCAAACTTTTTCTGGTTCTGTGAGTATGATCCATTCTTCTCTCTCTTAGAGCCCTGCAACATTCATAGATCATTTCCGTGCACAAATCTGGCGAAATGCAAGCTAATTACATTTAATATAAAAACAAGCTAAGCCATGTTGATGCACTTTCTTTTATTTTCTATGTAAAGTGATCACAAAACCCATAAAAATATTCTTTAAAATAGGGTTAATAAAATATTTAGTTCTTTAAATTTGTTCTCATTTTGGTTTTGATCCCTCAAATTTCAAATAATAGGTTTTAGTCCCTTTAGAGGCAAAATGGTATAAGTTTTTATTAGATTATAGTGACTAATATTTTAAATGAAAAGAAATTTGAGGTACCAAAACTTATAGTTTAAAATTTGGGAGACAAAAACCAAAATGAGAGCAAAACTTAAAAGACCAAAGTTTGTTTTAACCCTTTAAAATGCATTGACAAACATTTTTGTGATGAACTAGTCTTCCCATGATTCCATAGAGTTAACCAAATAGAAATGCTCAACTAGTTCATTTCCAAGACTCAAATCCACATGTGTCTTGCTTCGAATCATGATTATAAGTACTCATAACCACATTTTACATAAATTGAGATAAAACTTCTCTTACATATTTATTTTATAGTCTATAAATCATAATTAAAAACTATTTATAAGCTATTTTGAACAGGCCTGAACAGTACATGAAGTGTGGGAGTGTTGGAATGAGCCTAGCTAGATGTGATCGACCCCAAAAGTCCATGGGATGGCGGCACTCATGATGATGATATGTGCCGTTGGTACCTTGGCTGTCTGTTCACGCCAGACAGCAATATATTGGCAGATCCAAATTTCAGGGGTACCCACGAATGGGCATCCTATTGACTTCCAAGTCAATGCATAAACTCCAAATCACATCAGCTCGATCAACCCGATTTCTCCGAGGCTTCTTCTCTTATCCCTCCACGTATCGGACTCTTTCTTAGCAAATTTCAACCTCACCTTCCAACAATTTAATAGATCCGAGTCTTTCCACGAAACCGCGTCAATAAATGGGTAATTAACCAGGAACCAGCCTTTGAAAAATCCTAACGTCTTTAAGACGCGGAGACGCGTCAGATTCTGTGGGTCTGACTCAGATGGAGACAAAATGACCTATTAATGGGGTGTTTGGGTAACCCAAAATCACTTTTCAGAAGTATTTTTTTACAAATCCAAATAAATTCTTTCACGTATTTATTTTGTATGCCGTAAAAACACTTTTGAAGCTATAATTTTGTTCTCGCTCAAGCACTCCCTAAATGAAGCACCCAGAGAACCCCGACCAACGAGGCTGCTTCCCCAGCAGCACCAAAATTCACGTCCAAAACAGATTTCAAAAGTATTTAAAAAAAAAAAACACCATTGATTGACCGACCATCGAAGTTTGGTCGTGAGACTTGGGCAGTACGTAGTACGTCTGCATTCATTGGGACATGTCGAGTATATCTGAAACTTAAAAGGCTCATGCAATGACAATGTTGACTCGTGGCCTGTGGGTAAAAACTTTATTACCTTCGTGAAGTTGGTGGGTAAACAGTAGTACTACTCTTAAGTTTCCACCAGCCATGTGTAACCGTGGCTACGACTTTCTGCCATTTTTATTTACTCATGGCAACATTCTATATTGCTGATGAGCAGGCCATTTTCAACGTTGATCCCTTGTTCTTTTTACCCTACAGAGACAAACGTTTACGTCTGCACTACTATACAAGATAATGTTTTCTGGTGGGTCATTATTTCACTTGTTTCTTCATCATCAGCTGATGACTTCATTGACTAAGATGGCTATTTTGTTTGGTTTCGTACGTACATTTATTGATCAAGTGGAACTGACGATCAAGAGAGAAGAGAAGAAGCCGTGAACGTGTTGCCTTTTCCACAACACTAGCAAAAGATCACTTGCAGCTATCTAACTAATTATTATTGTGCTCAGTCCAATCCAAGCACTAAACAAAATTACAGTTCAAATCTTTAGTTTAATTAGGTATATATACAGGAGAAGAAAGCACTAATGGGAATATTACTGCTGATAAATAAGATTGTGGAAAAGAAGCATGCATGTTGATGCAAGGACAGGAGAGGGCCAAATGGAATATAAAGCAAGAGAAATGAATTGAACTTGTGAACGAATTATCAACTTGTCACGTAGTACATTATAGATGCGATATGTCACGGTCTTTGTTCCCCTCTTATTGGCGCTTCAATGAGAAGATTGGTCTGTAAATTATTTGTCCGTGTACATAATATTAACTTTTTGACAGAAAAATGATTGATTCAACTTGGTCGATTAAATTCAGATGGGGGAATTAAATCTGGCTTTTTCAAAGTGCATGAATCTGATCAGTGGCATGAACCAAGTGCATGGATCCTGCAGATATGCGGAGAACCAGGGCAGGAAATAACTGATCAAGTTGGGAAATCAGCGGGAACAAAATTAAATATTCCTAGTTAATGCCTCAATAATACTACCTCCGGTTCTAATTATAAGAGTTAGTTGATTAACTTGAGGAGATTGAGAAAATAAGTTAAGTTAGTTATTTGTAATAAATAAGTGTTTTTTTCCTTAAAATATCCTTGTTAATCAAATGTATTGCCTAAAATTATCATTATTAGAATGACTACCTTGAAAAAAAAATGCATAAAAAATACATAAATATAAGAGACAAAGTAAATTGGGATCTTATATTTAAGATTAAAATAAAAGTCAAATAAAATCTTATACTACCTCCGGTCCTAATTATAAGACCTAGTTGACTAATTTGGAGAGATTAAGAGTTATTTGTAATGAATAGGTCTTGTTTTTTCTAAAATATTCTCACTAATCAAGTTTGTTATCTAAAATTATCATTGTTAGAAGAATTATTTTAGAAAAAAATTTATAAATATGAGAGACAAAATAGATAGGGGTCTTATATTTAGGATCAAAATAAAAATCAAATAAGATTTTATATTAAGGATTAGAGGTAGTATTAAGAATCAGAGTTAATAACAATTATCATAATAATTCCAGCATGAGGATCTTAATGGGGAGCAGGGTTCGCCAACTTGGGGATTTTTCCACAAAGATATTTTGATGCCAAAGTATGAAACTTTCAGTTTCGTGAGCCTGTGTCACTTATCCATTATAGTCTGGGCCCACCAACTCTCCGGGGACCCACCAAACAGTTCTTGGCCCCTCCCCCGAGTTGCGGGTCGCCATTCTGATGACTCCTGTCCGCCGGGACCTTCATGCCTTCATCCCTGAGGCAAAATAAAAAGTAAATAACAGAACATTTACTGTTTTACTAAAATGTAATTAAATTTTTTTCCATAGGTCCATGCATTTGTGCATAGTAAATTGATAAGCTATGATGTTTATTTTTTTCAATATTTCAGCGAGTGAGCTTAACGTATTTATATGAAATTTGGCCCCAAAAAACATTTACATGGAACACGACCTTGTGCTGGTTTGGAATCATTTAGATAAACACTTTTCATATAAGTTAAGCTCTCTTTACGTGCTCATCTTGTATTTCATAAATTATGATTGAAAATTTGTTTTCATTATAAGGAGCTCGAACTAAATGGGAGTTCACGTTTTGTAATAATTAAAGTAGATGCTGATGAGAGGAACAAGGAAGGACGTGTACGTAGTTAATGGATGGCCGCGGAAAAAGACCGAACAAGGAATTTGTGGATATGTACATACGCAGGGGGACCCAGGTGAAGCGATATAGCCACATCACCCTCTTTGAAAAAAATTCATACACATAATATATATATTCAATGAAATCTCGGGCAAAAAAAAATCAAAGATTGAATTTGAAATTGTAGGGATAATAATGCTATCACATTGTACTCTAGAGAAGTATCCATGGTAAAAGAAAGCACATTGACCCCTCTTTATATATAAGTTGTTTTCTTTTTTCCTTTT